CCTCAATGCTGTCTGAAGAATCCCGGAACATGTTCCAGTCTGTGCTAGCAAAACAGTCCTGTAGCTTAGCATCTGCGTCATCTGACCACTTTTTTATTAACCGAGTCACTGGTGCTTCCTGCTTTAGTTTTTGCTTATAAGCAGGAATCAGGAGGATAGAGTTATGGTCAGATTTGCCAAATGGAGGGCGAGGGAGAGCTTTGTATGCGTCTCTGTGTGTGGAGTAAAGGTGGTCTAGAGTTTTTTTCCCTCTGGTTGCACATTTAACATGCTGGTAGAAATTAGGTAGAACGGATTTAAGTTTCCCTGCATTAAAGTCCCCGGCCACTAGGAGCGCTGCATCTGGATGAGCGTTTTCCTGTTGATTAATGGCCTTGTACAACTCATTCAGTGCAATTTTAATGCCAGCATTGGTTTGTGGTGGTAAATAGACAGCTATGAAAAATATAGATGAAAACTCTCTTGGTAAATAGTGTGGTCTACAGCTTATCATAAGATACTCTACCTCAGGCGAGCAAAACCTCGAGACTTCCTTAGTATTTGATTTTGTGCACCAGCTGTTGTTTACAAATATACACAGACCGCCACCCCTTGTCTTACCGGAGTCAGCCGTTCTGTCCTGCCGATGTAGCGTATAGCCTGCTAGCTGAATGTTATCATTGTCGTCGTTCAGCCACGACTCGGTGAAACATAAGATATTACAGTTTTTAATGTCCCGTTGGTAGGATAACCGTAATCTTAAGTCGTCCACTTTATTTTCAAAAGATTGAACGTTGGCTAATAGGATTGATGGAAGAGGCAGTTTACTCGCTCGCCGTCGGATCCTTACAAGGCACCCCGATCTACGTCCACGATATCTCCGTCTCTTCCTCACGCGAATGACGGGGATTTGGGCCTTGTCGGGTGTCTGTATGATATCCTTCGCGGCCGCCTCGTTGAAGAAAAAATCTTCGTCCAATACGAGGTGAGTAATCGCTGTACTGATATCCAGAAGCTCTTTTTGGTTATAAGAGACGATGGCAGAAACATTATGTACAAAATAAATTACAAATAACGCGGAAAAACACACATAATAGTACAATTGGTTAGAGGGCGTATTGTCCAGAGCATGGAGGTGCTACCAGGAGACAGGCCAGTACATCAGGAGACGTGGAGGAGGCCGTAGGAGGGCAACAACCCAGCAGCAGGACCGCTACCTCCGCCTTTGTGCAAGGAGGAGCAGGAGGAGCACTGCCAGAGCCCTGCAAAATGACCTCCAGCAGGCCACAAATGTGCATGTGTCTGCTCAAACGGTCAGAAACAGACTCCATGAGGGTGGTATGAGGGCCCGACGTCCACAGGTGGGGGTTGTGCTTACAGCCCAACACCGTGCAGGACGTTTGGCATTTGCCAGAGAACACCAAGATTGGCAAATTCGCCACTGGCGCCCTGTGCTCTTCACAGATGAAAGCAGGTTCACACTGAGCACATGTGACAGACGTGACAGAGTCTGGAGACGCCGTGGAGAACGTTCTGCTGCCTGCAACATCCTCCAGCATGACCGGTTTGGCGGTGGGTCAGTCATGGTGTGGGGGGCCGCACAGCCCTCCATGTGCTCGCCAGAGGTAGCCTGACTGCCATTAGGTACAGAGATGAGATCCTCAGACCCCTTGTGAGACCATATGTTTGTGCGGTTGGCCCTGGGTTCCTCCTAATGCAAGACAATGCTAGACCTCATGTGGCTGGAGTGTGTCAGCAGTTCCTGCAAGAGGAAGGCATTGATGCTATGGACTGGCCCGCCCGTTCCCCAGACCTGAATCCAATTGAGCACATCTGGGACATCATGTCTCGCTCCATCCACCAACACCACTTTGCACCACAGACTGTCCAGGAGTTGGCGGATGCTTTAGTCTAGGTCTGGGAGGAGATCCCTCAGGAGACCATCCGCCACCTCATCAGGAGCATGGCCCAGGCGTTGTAGGGAGGTCATACAGGCACGTGGAGGCCACACACACTACTGAGCCTCATTTTGACTTGTTTTAAGGACATTACATCAAAGTTGGATCAGCCTGTAGTTTGGTTTTCCACTTAAATTTTGAGGGTGACTCCAAATCCAGACCTCCATGGGTTGATACATTTGATTTCCATTGATAATTTGTGTGTGATTTTGTTGTCAGCACATTCAACTATGTAAAGAAAAAAGTATTTAATAAGATTATTTCATTCATTCAGATCTAGGATGTGTTGTTTAATTGTTCCATTTATTTTTTTGAGCAGTGTATATATACATACATATACTATTCCCACGGGGGGCCAGTATGAAAAACTTTATAAAAATGTATGCACTCTGGATAAGAGTGTCTGCTAAATGACTAAAATGTAAAATATACCTTCGACACATACATATACACATACATACAGTGGGGAAAAAAAGTATTTAGTCAGCCACCAATTGTGCAAGTTCTCCCACTTAAAAAGATGAGAGAGGCCTGTAATTTTCATCATAGGTACACGTCAACTATGACAGACAAATTGATAACAATACTTATTTTCCACCATAATTTGCAAATAAATTCATTAAAAATCCTACAATGTGATTTTCTGGATTTTTTTTCCTAATTTTGTCTGTCATAGTTGACGTGTACCTATGATGAAAATTACAGGCCTCTCTCATCTTTTTAAGTGGGAAAACATGCACAATTGGTGGCTGACTAAATACTTTTTTTCCCCACTGTACATATAAATACATATACATACATATATATACACATCATGTTTTAAAAATATATTTTCCTTTATTACTTTCCAACCCCACCACTAGTGAACAACAACGCTTAGGCCTCTACTTCCAGCTTATACATACTATATACATTTTATGGACACAGTCAATTTTACAATAATTATGTTTTGTTTGTTTTTACTCCTGAATGTCCTCTACCCTCAACCTCTCTGATCATTTTCATGATGTCCATCAGGTTTGCTTCCATATGCCATATCTTTCTAACTGTTCTTTCACAAAAGCATTCACAGACTTGTTAAAATACCTTGCCCTGACCTTATTCCCATCCATTTATAAACCCTGGCTTCATCTTCACACTTTCATTCCACCTGAACCCTGGCCATAGGGGTTATTGCAAGTAGATTTTGACTCCATCTAAATGTATTCTTACTAATGCTGATTGGGGACAGAGCAGCACTCGCTGGGTGCAGTAGAGGGAATTGGCAGCAACCCGAACCCCCATCCCCACCTGAGAGAGAGAGCAGGAAGCGGAGCACATTCCCATTCAGCTTTAATTGGGGGGAACATGAGGTGCCTCGGCAGCACTCGCTTAGTCTGGTAAAAGCGCCATCCCACTGAGGTCTAAAGATAATTAATAGTTCATTAGAAAATCTTGAAATAAGCAATCTCTCACCAGGAAAACAACCTTGGAGCCATCTTAGTGGAGCTCACTGCTATCTGAGCAAGCTGATGGGGAGGCGGATAGGGAGGTGAACAGTTCACAGTTTTAGACTTTTAGCTTGGGGGGGAAGTAGAGGTTGAGGTATACGTGAGAATCTCTTTCCCCATCTCCTCTCTTTCTGCTCGTCTCATACCGCTGTTTACGTCGACAACAGCGGCGAAGTAAAATCGAGTGTTTGCAAATGATGCTCAGTGGGAGCCTCGCAGGAAGTTTTTGAAATTGAAATGAAGGCTGCTTCTCAACATAGCAATGGTCCATAGACTAACACTAACAAGCACCTCGCGTTGTATCTGCGTGCCTGGCTGCAAATAAACAGTTTGTCTTAAATGAATATTGCTCTCTGAAAGTCAAGTGATTAGCATTCGAGCCAGGCTGAAATGGAATCGTTTTCTTTTCAAGATCTGAGGAAAGAGAAAAGCATGTTGCATAAAAACAAAAATCTGTTTCATTTCATTGGTATATCCTGCTTTCTAATGAAAACTGGCAGGCCTGGTGGATCCTGGGTAATAAAGGTGAGCTTCAACAGAAGACAAGATAAAGTTGGTCTCGTCATGCTCTTTTTGTTGAGCTAGGAGTTACCAGTGAGATTAGGACTGAGATCAATGGAGCTTGTTGCTGTTGTTGTTGTTGTTGTTGTTGTTGTTGTTGTGAAATAGAGTGGAGAAAGATAGAGAACGAGGGAGATAAGAACAAAGATAGGGATAGGCCAAAGGACTGAGAGAGGTTGGTAGTGATGTGGAGAGAGAGAGAGAGAGAGAGAGAGAGAGAGAGAGAGAGAGAGCCAGAGACCCAGCCCTCTAGAGAGGAAAAGATAAAAGAGAGTGCGAATAGATGGAGCATAAGAATACCCACCCTCTAGAGGAAATAAAAGGAGTTTGAATAAATGGAGGGATTCCCAGGCCTGTTTTCCAATAGGGGGTGGTATGTTTAATTCAGTTAGTGTGTGGCAGGGTCTTAACAGATCCAGCCCTCAATGATTATACTGTTTCCTCATGGTACCAGAGTCACAGAATCATCATCCTCCTGCCATTTCTCTTTCACTCTATCTCCTTCCTTAGTCTGCCCTCACATTCATGTGTATCAGAAGAGCTATGTTGGTTTATTGAGTGGATTGTCCAACTGCTATTGGCTTTGTTTACTGCATGTATACTGTATCTTACCTCTCTTGGTTGTTGTGTATAAGGGTTTGTTGGGGTGGACTGAAGAGGGGTCTCTGGAATCTTCAACGATAAAAAAGTATTGACTCTTGCGATTCTATGCGAAGTCAATAACCCCTCTACCCTCACCTCTCCTCTTCTCCTCTCCTCCAGATCTACAAAGGCCTGCTGTCTGTCTTCTATAACTGTCTCCTCTCCTCCAGATCTACCAGGGCCTACTGTCTGTCCTCTATAACAGTCTCCTCTCCTCCAGATCTACCAGGGCCTACTGTCTGTCTTCTATAACTGTCTCCTCTCCTCCAGGTCTACCAGGGCCTACTGGCTGTCTTCTATAACTGTCTCCACTCCTCCAGATCTACCAGGGCATACTGGCTGTCTTCTATAACTGTCTCCTCTCCTCCAGATCTACCAGGGCCTACTGGCTGTCTTCTATAACCTGGGAGACGGAGACTACAACCTGACACTGCCCTCCTATCGCCTGGACAATGGCGAGTGGCACGAGGTCTACCTAGATCGCCACGACAACGAACTGACCCTGCGTCTGGACGGGGGCGGGGGCAGACGGGAGGCCAGCGTGGCGCCGGGCCGGAGCCGAGAGATCATCACCGACCCCGCAGTGGTGATGCTGGGAAACGCCTTCCCCTCAGGCTCCAACAAGAGCTTCCAGGGTGAGGAGACTGCAGGGAGTGGTGCATGATGGGAAAAGGGCTAGTCTGGGCGTGCGAGGCAGACAGTTAGTGACAGAAGGAGTACAGAGCTTTCTAATAAAGTGCAGCCAGAATTAGGGGCTTTATCAATTCATAATCCCCTTTTTAGTGAGATTACAAAGTATTGTATTGCCGATTATAAATGATTCACATGACTGGTGAATGAATAATTCACACAAATGCATCTTTAGAGTTAGAGGATGATGGCTGCCCTAGGGGAGGTTGGTATGAGACAGATAAAGTGTGAGGCGGCTATGAGAGTGTGCAGTGCAGTGCTCTGCAGTGCTGTGGAAATGGCATGTGACATACAGGGAGAGAGACAGTAGAATGTGCAAATACAAGGGCGGTCAGACAGCTTTGCCTCAGGCAGAAACAGACAGTGTGCGTGTTTATTAAATGGACTTTAAAAGCCTGTAAGGGTGTCAGAGCATGGCAAAGAAAGTAAATGGTGTGTGTTTGTGTGTCAGAGGTTCTTTCTGTGTGTGTGTGTGTATGTGTGTGTGTGTATGTGTGTGTGTGTGTGTGTGTGTGTGTGTATGTACTTGATTATCATTCTGTCCTCTCCTCTCTCTTAAGGTTGCATGCGGGACCTGAGGCTGAATGGTCGATACGTGCCTCTGGATGGCCAGCCCAGAGACGGGGTCTCCGTGGTCAGCTCCCAGGGGCTCTCCATCGGTTGCTCCTCCGACTCCTGCAAGAGGAACCAATGTAGCCCCCCCTTCACCTGTGTTGACCTCTGGAGAGTCCATGAGTGCAGGTATGCACACTCAAACACAATTATCAGATCTCTCTCTATATCTTATACAAACACACTGAGGCCCTCTCTGTCTTCTTCAAGGACTACAGCCTCAGAAGCCAGTGGCTCATCCTCTCGCAGCCTTTAATCTTAGATAAACATCCACTCATCCCCCATTAGTCACAGAGGCACACTGCAGGGGGCCTGGATAAACCAGGCCCTTTGATACACCTCAGTCCTGCAGGGCTGGCTGTAAACATGCCTGAGTCAAATGTTGACAGGCAGTGTGTGGGCAGCTATTCGACCCAGGCCCCCTGTTCTAGCTCCTCTCTCTGATCATGGTAATGGTGGTGATTTAAGAGGCTGTATAAAGACACAGGGATACATTGTTTTTCAACAGCCTGCAGGCTGCTCATCCTCACTGCTGTTCATCAGCCTGGTTAATGCTCTGTGTGAGTTCTGAAGGAGTCCAACTGGTTTCACATCATACATGTGTATGCCGATGTGTGTCTCTGTGTCTGTGCATATCTGAATCACAGAGCTACCACAACGTAACACTTGTTTCACAGAAGGAGAAACAAGATAAGGGTAACATGGAAAATAGTCTAAATCACGAGTAACTATTTAACTGAGATACATAGCTTTTGACCAATACACTGTGTTATCCTCAGAATACATTGGAGGACCAAAATAGAATCAGGAAATCAGAAAGGAGAGATCTAACCTCTGTTTTATCTCTCTCTTTTAACCAAAATGTCTAACGTCTCCTCTTGCTCCTCCCTCCATCTTGTTTTTTAGGTGTCCCCCTGGCCACATGGTGAAGGTGAACGGTACGGGGAAGTTCTGCCTCTACACCCTGTGTGCCAGTCGGCCATGCCACCGGGGCACCTGCGTGGCACAGTCGCCCTCCAAGTTCACGTGCCACTGCCCCGAGGGCTACCGGGGGCGCCACTGCGAGGTGGCGCTGGCCATCTACCGAGATGACGTGGGCCTGAGCTTCAGCTCCCTGTTCGCTATTTGCATCTGCTTCATGGCTCTGCTAGGTAGCTATACCAACTACTGCCTGCTCTGGCTCTGGTGACCGACCGCCCGCCTGCCTGCCACCTGTCTGTCTGTCTGTCTGTCTGTCTGTCTGTCTGTCTGTCTGTCTGTCTGTCTGTCTGTCTGTCTGTCTGTCTGTCTGTCTGTCTGTCTGTCTGTCTGTCTGTCTGTCTGTCTGTCTGTCTGTCTGTCTGTCTGTCTGTCTGTCTGTCTGTCTGTCTGTCTGTCTGTCTGTCTGCCACCCGTCCATCCGTCTGTCTCTGTCTGTCTGCTTGTCTGTGTCATCTCCATAGTAACACTGGACATCAAATCCTCACTCTTTACTCATCTCCTCTTCCCATTCAACCTCTTGTCATGTCCATCTCCCCTATCATTCTATCAGCTGAAGTAGAGCACTGTACTGTAAGTCCATTGAGAGGTCTAGTAGAAATGCCTGAGTCAAACAGTGACAGTGTGTGGGCAGCTTATGGACAATGCTATGGTAGCAAACTTATACTCTAGTCATAACAGGCAATGAAAATGAGTCCCTTTGACCTTTGACCAGTACTCAGTAGTCCACCTTGATACGTGCCTTCTGGTCAATCTAGTGTCAGCCAGTCATAGTCAGTCACTAGATCAGGTGTCAATGTGCTGGCCGTCTCCCGCTGTCCTCTCCTCTATCCTCATTGGGCATTCAGCTTCAGCCGTCACTCCAAGCAGACCAAAAACAATTGCTAAGCTCAAATGATCATTTCCCCTCTCGTACCTTTGCTTAATTTTAAAGGCAACATGACCTTGGTCATCCACAGCCACTGATGCTTTTTAAGTGTTAATTACTTGATTTGTAGGCGCACAATGTGCTGTTTACCGAAGCCCAAGGAAATTGAGATCAATGCACTTGGACTTTAGATAGAATTTCAATTGGCCAAGCATTCCACGCACAGAAACTTAAGTATTGAGAGAGAGGTTTTCTTCCCAGCTGCATTCAATCCAGTTTGGAGTAAATACGAGCAGTTGAATAACTGGGAGTGTAAAGGGCTCTGGATCTCTTGTCAGTATGCAGAGCAAAAAGCATCTCATTCTGAAGCTTCCTTTTCTTAATGGTTAATAGGTTTATGGCATGATGTGAATGCTATACGCCTCCACCTCCTCACCCACTCCAATTCCTCCTCTCACCCACCTCCCTCCTCCGCTGGATGTAGAAGGAACCTCTCCACTGTCTCACATGTTCTCAGCTAGCTACAGCTGTGAGGAAATAGCAAGCGGCCTACTCCCCTTGTCCGAAAAATAGATCTCAGTAAAGCTTGCCAAAACCATATTGGAGAGGGAAGAATTGTATCAGTGAAAATTACCCAATGTTCCGTTTTGCTGTCATAGACTAAAAGCAGAATTATTTTTGTTGGGAATAAGCTGTGCATTTAGACTGCAGTGTGTAGGTGTTCCTTTGTAGGATGGTGGTGCTCGGCTCATTTTAAGGGTCCAGCTTTTAGGTCTTGCTGTTAGATCAATGATCAATGCCTAAATAAAGATGAGTGTGTAGGCTTAGAGGATCTGTTCAGGCCCATAGAGCCACAGAGATACTATCAGTTGTAGTGCACCGTGTGTGTGCTGCCAAGGTGTCTTATATTGAGGGGCAGAGAGGACATCTCTCCAGATACCTCCTGATATCTGTGTCATTCCCCAATGTGAATAGGCAATAATGCCTTGTTTTTTGCAGACTTGCAGCCTCTCCTCTGGCTATGTTTGTTTGTATGTCTCAGTATGTCCCGTAGCCATCTGGCGGACTCTAACCTGTGATTTCAGGAGCTTGTGCTCTGGCTTTACACGACTGTGCCAGAGGGCTCGTCATGGGCACCATAAATTAGTACAGTATAATGACCTCATCTACTGTATGAGTATGGTCATCTGTTAGTCTGCAGATGTTTCAAGGTTGTCCAGTGATCTCAATGATAAGAGACAAATGCAAAGGCACAGAGTCCACAATGTACAGAAATCCGAATATACAGAAAGAACCCCCTACATGGTGGAATGTACAGAATAAATCCCTGTTTGACTCCATAGTAGTGGTAGCTGATTGGGTACCAGGCTGTGGTTGCCGGCCTAACCTCTCCATCCGTGAGAAAAGCCTAGCTACCCATTGAGCTGGACTGCTTGGGCCATGTGGTGCCAGGCTCTGTTTGGGGGTTGTGTATCCGTGAAAACACTGATGGTTGCTGATGTGGAAGTGAATTGACGAGCAGTGTCTTACAGCCTCCTCTCCTCCTCACGCCAGGGCTCCTTATATAAACACAGTGAGTCAGAACTCTGAACCAGCCTACCACTGGGTCTGACAGAGAGAGAGATATGGAGAGGCCTCACACTCATCATCCTATTAATGCTAATTAAACCAAATTGCACCTCAAGTCACTATACTTGAAGCACAATGTGCATGGCAATCCACACAATACAATGCACACAGCGTCTTATCTGAAATAGAGATTGATGTACTTCTCAATACATTATATTAAATTAAGGCATATAGCAAGACACATGTCCAACTGCTACCTGAATCTCTTAGTAAGACATTTATTTTAAAAATGGTGAGAGTGTATTTTAATCAGCGGCATCCCCAAATGGTTATGTCAGTGCGAGGATAAACAAAATGGAGAGGTCAGGGCTGAAATCAGGGAACCAACAAGTGGTTCTGTTTATGCCACTGCCAAATAGCTCAAATGTTGTTGTGACGCAGCTCAAATGTCCCCATACTTGTCAAAAGGCTACCTGTGTAAGGTGTATAGAATTACATTTTAAAAATAATATATATAAATATGTTGGACGAATGTTAGAGTAGAGTGATACTATTCCATGTACTTTGGAAATTACTAGTGAATTACAAGCATCCTTTTATCCCTATGTAAAGCTCTGTGCCATAAGATATTTTAATCATATTTATAATAAAACACTATTCTCAAAACCCCTTTGTCTTTATCATTTGTTTTCCATACTCATATCCTCCTCTTTCCTCTCTCATTTTCATTGTTCTGATTTAACCTTTGTTCTTAAGGTTTCTTTGTCTTTAATCAGTAATATTTATGTTGTGTCTTCTTCCTACTTTGTTACTGAACTGCTTGTTGATTGATGTCTGCATAACCTATATTGTTTGTCCAATAATTCACAGTAAACCTGTTATTGACTAAATGTAAAATGTATTGATCTCTAACAAGATACATTATCCATTATCCATCATTAAGCTATAAGGCTACAGAGAGGATGTTTTGGTTGCTAACTACACTGGTACTGAGTGTCGTCTACTAGCTGTGTATAACAACAGGTACATTGATAAGAGATTGTAAACCTGGCAGGTGAGGCTCCACACTGAAAATGCATGGTGAAAGGAATGGAACAGCTTGGTTCTCCACTATTTCAAGCTGTTGATTGAGATTTCTGGATAACTGACTTCCACCATATACACACACACACACACACACACGCACACACACATGCACGTATACACACACACACAGACACACACACACATACACACACTGGGAAGTGAGACTGTTCAGTCTGACTTCCCAGTGGGTGTGTGTATGTATGTACAGCGCCTTCGGAAAGTATTCAGACCCCTTGACTTTTTCAAATTTTGTTAGGTTACAGCCTTATTCTAAAATTGATTAAATTGTTTTTTTCCCTCATCAATCTACACACAATACCCCATAATGACAAAGCAAAACTGGCTGGGCCACTCAAGGACATTCAGAGATTTGTCCGGAAGCCACTCCTGCGTTGTCTTAGCTGTGTGCTTAGGGTCGTGGTCCTGTTGGAAGGTGAACCTTTGCCCCAGCCTGAGGTCCTGAGTGCTCTGGAGCAGGTTTTCATCAAGGATCTCTCTGTACTTTGCTCCGTTCATCTTTGCCTCAATCCTGACTAGTCTCCCAGTCCCTGTCCCAGTCCCTGTCCCAGTCCCCTGCCGCTGAAAAACATCCCCACAGCATGATGCTGCCACCACCTTAGGGATGGTGCCAGGTTTCCTCCAGACGTGACGCTTGGCATTCAGGACAAAGAGTTCAATCTTGGTTTCATCAGACCAGAGAATCTTGTTTCTCGTGGTCTGAGAGTCTTTAGGTGCCTTTTGGCAAACTCCAAGCAAGCTGTCATGTGCCTTTTACGTCTGGTCACTCTACCATAAAGGTAAAGATTTCTAAAAAACAGTTTTCGCTTTGTCATTATGGGGTATTGTGTGTAGATTGCTGAAGCTTTTTCTTTATTTAATCCATTTTAGAATAAGGCTGTAACGTAACAAAATGTGGAAAAAGTCAAGGGGTCTGAATACCTTCCGAAGGCACTGTATGTGTGTGTGTGCTTTTGTGTGTGTGTGTGCGTGCATGTGTGTGTGCAGTATAGGCTCGGCCTAATCCCTTCAGTCCTGCACACGGTTCCAGATTAGATTAGCTTTTCATCCTAAAGTCTGAGTCTGTTGTGAGGTGGGGTTAAAAAAGTAGTCTCAGTCAGAGAAAGGAATACAACTCTAGAAGATATCCCTCTTTTATGTCTCCTCTTTATTGTCCCGCCTGTATCCGGATTAGTTTCCACGGTGACAGGAATAAATAACACAGCTGTTACACGTTGATGTTGGCTGGAGCCTTTTAAAGGTGTCTCTGGACCTGTCGCTATTCACAATGTTGTCTCTTACAGTGACTGTGAGAGTAGAATATGCACTCATAGAAAAAAGGGTGCTATCCAGAACCTTGAAGGGTAGTTGGCTGTCCCCACACTAGAACCCTTTGAGGAACCCTTTTGGTTCCAGGTAGAACCCTTTCAACAGAGTGTTCTACATGGAGCCCAAAAGGGTTATACTTGGAACCAAAATGGGTTCTACCTGGATCCTAAAATGGTTCTCCTATGGGGAAAACCGTAAAGAAACTTTTGGAAACCTTTTTTCTAAGAGTGTACACAGTGGGTTTGGAGCCTCAGCTGGCTCTTTGCTAGGGATGGAATGAGAGTTATATGGCAAACCATTTAGCCAGTGAGTGATAACCTGGGACCAATAGAGGTATGAGATGGGCAAAAAATGGAGCAGAGAGAGAGTCAATGAGAGAGGACAGAAATACAGTGAGAGCGAATGTCAGAGAAACTAGGGATGGCAGGGTGGGAGAGGTACACAGACAGCGAAAGACAGCAAAAGGGATTAGAGGTACAAGGGAGAGAACGAGAGAAAGGGAGAGAGAAATGGAAAGACACACACACATTGAGTAATAGAGGGAGGAATGGAGGGAGCGAGAGCAGGCTTTGCTAGGCTCGCTGCAGTAAACAGCATTATAGTTTGATGGCCTTGAGCCTGCTCATTATTGGCTAGGATTGATTTATTTAGAGATTCTCATCTCCCCATGCTCTCACTACAGGGATGCTCTCACTATGGTGTAACAGAGGAGAGAGGAAAACAGGCTCTTCTTCCTTTATCCACGTTCATATGGGTCTGAGCTAAGACAAGTCTACTCTATATACTGTCCTCATGCATTACTGTATACAGAATCTAGCTATCATTACACACTATGCTTTAGTGCTGAAATCAGAAATGTAACTGTTTCAGTATTTTGCCATACGGTATGCAAAACAGTATGCTTTGCTGCTGGTTGAATTATACACTTGTCTTATAATTAGGTATTTCATGACTAGTGAACTGCAACCTTTTTCCACTCAAAAAGACCCCAAGTGGTGCAGAAAAAACAAACAAATCATTCTTCAGTGAGATTTTTTCTACTCCAAATGAATGCATCACAGGACTCAGCATGATGCACATGCCAGTTACAGCATCTATATTGCTTTTGTATTGGTGTGGTACAGACAGAATCAATCATCTTTAGTGATATTCCATAACCTGGTATAGAATGTGTTGTGTGTTAGACATTGGGATGCATGTTGTGTATCTTAGGGTTATGTTAGGTTGTTAGTTGGGTGATGCAATCGATAGTGCAGGCTTTGGTAGGGTTCTGATATGAGAGGAGAAGAGAGGAGGAGAGGAGAGAAAAAAAAGTATTGGAGGCAGACTGCAGCTAGCCAGCCACTCAGACCTCCTCTGCTTAGTAATCAGAGCAACAGTTCAGCTCCTGGAGAGAACAGACACACATCTCTCAATCGGAGAGGGCTTTTGAAGACAGACAACCCAATAGGGAAGTCTCTATGAGAGCTGACCTGAACTAAATTCAGAGTAATCTTTTTCTTAATCACACAACACTCTCAATCCAAGTGATGACAGACAGTCATACACAAACTCAATTACCTCGACTAACCTGTGCCCCCGCACATTGACTCAGTACTGGTACCCCCTGTATATAGCCTCGTTACGGTTATTTTACTGCTGGTCTTTAATTATTTTATTTATTTATTTTTTAGTTACCTATTTTATACTTAACACTTATTTTTCTTAAAACTGCATTGTTGGTTAAGGGCTCGTAAGCATTTCACTGTAAGGTCTACACCTGTTGTATTCGGCGCATGTGACAAATATAATTTGATTTGATTTGAAACACTGTGTTTTAGAGTTAGAGACGGTGGCCTTGAGATAACACACAGCTAGAACAGAATCATGTGTCAATCTCTGAGACTTTGTTAACACCACTCTCACCTAGATGAACATGTTTTTTCTAAAGACAATTGCAACATTTCACAGGAATAATAGAGTAACAGACAGACATGGGATTGCATATTCCTGTGCAATAGACCCAGCACTACAAAGCCCTCTAAAAGCGACTTCATTTGCTTGTGACACATTGTGTTCATAAATTGATATTGATTTTTTTGCCGGTGTTGCAGCTTGTTTCTGGCTGGGTACACCAGTACCTAACTTCTGAAGAGTGAGAGTTCACTCAGAGATTGCCCTGATAATTGGGAGATTTCAATTCGATCTGTCTCAGCCTGTCGACCTGGTCCCCTTGCTAAATGACACCTTATCAAACTAATGACAAGTGAGCCCACAACATCCAATAGATACAACCAAAACAAATAAGGGCAATTGGCAAAGGAGAGGGATAGCAAAAAGGAATTTGAACAAACTGAAGATGAGAGAGAGAGAGAGATGCAGGAGGGGGAGGAAGAAATCTGAGGAATGATAAAAGCAGAGGTTGAGTCAAATAAGGCATGATGGAAGGGGGGAGGGAGGGAGGGAGGGAGGGAAGGGTACAGTATAGAGAGATTTATGGAGAAGTACAGTATGGGTAGATAATATACTCTAAAGGTCACAGCAGTCTATAGGGGACGATTGATTTTGAGAGCACCACTTGCCGCTCTGCAGAGAGAGCCCTTATTGAGTAGCCGTCCCAGCAGTCAGCCAGCAGTCCACCTGTCAGGCCTCTCAGCACAGCCATCATGCTGATAATGCAATGTCAAATCAACGCAGTGGAAACGGGTTCACGCAGTCACTTCTAATCAAACTGAACTAGGAACTTTCTCTCTCCCTCTGTGTGCGTCTGTCTCTTCCTCCTTCTGTGCTCTCCGGCGCCCCCTAGTGCTGTTGCTGGGCATCTTCCTGTACACCCGCTGGCGCAGCTACAAGGGCCTAAAGGAGGGTGTTTACCACGTGTCAGCTCACAATGACGGCTGGGAGGACATCAGAGAGAACGTGCTCAACTACGATGAGGAAGGAGGAGGAGAGGAGGACCAGGTAAAAGCCAACACATCTACAGTATGTCTCCTACTCACTTACAATGGGATACTGTGCATTTTGGTTCCCTTGTCACAAATGGTGTCAATTAAGGCAGTTCCAGACTGAATCTGTGAAGTGAAACAATTCAGGTTGGATTCCAGGCTAGGCATTATGGGTACTACACAAGCTAAAGCACACTCCTCTGAGGCCTACACTGGCTCAATCAAGCACACTCCTCTTCCCCACCATGCCATTGTAACACCTTCTCACTCTGGTTCACCTCCTACTCCAACTAGAAAGAAACTAGTGGAGTGCTTGTATATTCATGATCTCCTTACACACAATGACACATAATATGATTATCAGATGCTTGGTGATGCTGCAATCCTTTTAAGAGGTCTTCTGGTGAATCTTTAGATGTGAGAGCTGCTTCAGCACACAGGCTTTGCACATTTTTTTCATCAGGTAATCAATTACAGAGCACACCCACACGTCATTTACTTCTCCACTCTACCATTCCTCCACCCTCCTTTCCTCCAGGGCCCGGGCTTCCATCTCTCCAGAGTGAAGCGCTGCCGTGGTAACGAGGGTGAATCAGTCTCGCCTGAATCAAATGAATGTTGAAGTGATTATGTGTTATATAAAAATGGATGTTCTCTAGCCCTCGTCCAATATTTGCCTGTGCTCTGTTGAAGTGAAACACTCCCCTCGCCCCCTTCACATTCCCTCAGATTACTTAGTGTACTCGGGTAATACAGTCTGTCAGCTCTCCACTAGCAGAGAATGAATCTGGATTTTGTTCACTAAGGGAGAAGATGAAGACAGAGTGTTAACGTAGCCAGGTAGAGCAAACGGAAAATGGGATGATGCTGAGGAAGCTCTGATGTTCGCGTTTGTCTCCTCACTCACCATCACACTCTATGATGTGATGTTTTATTTCTGTTTCAATCCCGGGAAGAATAGCTGCTGCCTTGGCAACCGCTAATGTGGATCCTAATAAAATACGAAATACTCTCTATTGCTCCATCTGTCCATTTGTTCCTCCTTTCCATTCTCTATTTTGACATTCCATCCTGTCTCCCTCTGTGTGTGTGTAGAATGCCTATGATATGGCCGAGCTACAGAAGTCTCTCCAGCCCAGTCCGGCCCAGTCTGTCCAGTACAGCCGCTCCAGAGCCATCCACCAACATCACCACCCCCACACCCAGCACCAACATCCCCAGCCCCAGGACACTCTTAGCAGGCTGGGTGCCAGCACCGCCCCCTCCTCCTTCACCACAACCACCACCCTGCGGAGGGACGTGCCCCCCACCAGGACCCCCGCCCAGGGCCAGAGCAGGCCCCTCCTGTTGGCCAGAAAGAGCCTGTCCTTCTCCAGCCAGGACCTGGCCCGCTACCTGTGTGAGATCATCCGGGACGCTGACCAGGCCCCAGAGACGGCTCCCTTCGACTCCCTGCAGGTGTTCTCCACGGAGGGGGGAGGCTCGCTGGCCGGGTCCCTCAGCTCCTTCAGCTCAGCCGGGTTGGAGGAGGACACGGCTAGGGGCCAAGACTCCCTGAAGGATTGGGGCCCACGTTTCGAGGAACTCAAAGCCCTCTACGAGAAAACCGAGGCCAGCGACCTCTGAACGCTGAGAGAGACAGACCAAGCTACCGTAGTGCAGAGACCACCAAACAGCAGAAAACTACAGAGCTACATGAAACTAATTGGAAGCATAGGAGGAGAGAGAAAAGTGCAGGAAGGAGAGAGAGACTGATGGAGAGCTTGGCCTCTCTCCTCTGGGAGTGACTTGTTCTCCACAGGGATTTTCCTCTAAACGGGCCTAGAGCGAGGCTGAGGCTGGGACTGACGTTAACCTAACCGGGCCTATAGCTGAGACTCACTGTTCACTGGATAATGGGAGCTGCCAATCAATGACATGGACAGATTAATGATGGCACTTACCGAGCATGGCACACAGCCCTATTGTAGTGACTTGCGGTTGACAATGATTCGGGTGAAAATGTTATTATATTTGTCAGTGAAATGAATTGCGATGATTGCCTGGCACCTCTTGGACCTTGATATACCGTATTCCGTTCTCTACGTCTGTAATACTTCAGTGTTTTAAAAACTGCTTAGACATTTGATACAGGAAGATTTTTCTGTGGCCTTCCAGTGGGCTATCTTTCTAAAATCACTTTGCTGGGTGTGCAGTCAACAGTTACCAGTTGTGCTCATAAGTTATACTTAAACTTCTCCTTACTTGATTTGGTTTTCTATTCACTCCACTCTCCCCTCCATTCATTGTTATTCACCGGAGGGAGAGAGCTCAGAAATCAAGCTGGAGAGTAGAAAAGAAAGAACGCACATAGGAGCCGAGGAAAGGGCCTTTTCTGTTTCTCAGCTTTAACCTTCTTTCTCAGGAATACCAAACATTCTGAACGCCACCACTCCAGCTGAAGACCATGCTATGAATACAAATGACAAATTCATTGTGAATGGCTGTCCAAGGTGAGAAAAGTACAGAGGGTCCCACCGAAGCCTCCTACAGAATGAACAGTGGACACCCTCTGACCTTTGCTGTTGTTGCCATGGTGTTGTGATAGTAGAGGCAGCCATCGTTTACTGTATTCACTGATATATGTCTGAAAGGGAATGTTTACCAGTTGTGTTAAAGAGGTGGTGGGGGCTTTCACAGTAAACAGTATGAGCCCAGCAGTTTGAACGATCGAAGGGAAATGATCCAGCTACATGGGTATTCACAGGGGGGTTCAGCTATTTATCTTCCCCAAAGCTGGAGATTGATGCACCCCCACAAACAGTTCCCTTCCACCATATCAACCAGGACCAATCTGCCCAAACTAAAAACCCTTCAGAAGCCAGCGTTCACTGCATTTGTGTTGTTCACCTCTGCTTTGAGAGAGGAGTGCAGAGTGGAGGTGAGATTAGCCATAGAATGCAGAAGGGAGGAAGAGTGGAAAGGAGGGAGGGTTTGGGCTCATTCAAAGCACCTCTGGGACTCTGAGTTAAATGTGCTTGTGTGAGGAGCTGTGAAGCTCCATGGGGAGTAGAGAAGGGGACGGGAAAGGGTTTTGGAAATGGTTTGTTGCACAGCAAATGGAATAAATAAAAAGTAATGTAACCTCCCTCTGCGATAGACTAAACGCCAACCTTGTATTTCATGTATTTCGAGATAGCATCAGTACACCCTTCTCATTATTTTGATTTAGTTTCTATTTTTTCAGTGCAGAGATACTGCATGTTGAGTGTGACGGCACAACAGTAAAGGGTAGGAGTGTGTTAAAACACATCAGAGCACTAATCCTAATGGGAGTTGATGGCAGCGCTGTCATGCTGTAAACCTAAAGGATCATGGGAGTTTTAAAAGTCGATTGAGAAGTCGACATTCTGATTATGGATTTCAAACGTGCCAATTTTCTGAAGGCAGCAACAACATGAGTTTAAAATAGGATTGGGGATGTGAGGGTATGGAATGCTGCCGCAATGCAATGCTTTTTTATAGACATCAAAAGCTCCTCGAGGGATGGAGTTATGATTCATCCTCCGAGCACGGTTGGCCAGGAACCTGGCTTATAGAGGAGCTAGTAAAAAATAATGATTAAAATGTGAAGATTGTGTTTGGGATTCACAGGATTTCTCTGGGTTTGGAGAGAAGAGATTCTACTTTAATTTGTATCATAAATGGCTTCAACATTGTCTAATGGATACAGACATATTGTGGCATTTTATGTTTTTACCTCATTTGTATATAGAAAGATAAATTAAGTCATTGCTTTTTTAATGTGTCAATGGAAGAACTATGGATCACGTACTGCTTCTTTAAGAAAAAGTGAACTTATCTTTTTTATCATTATCATGGCCAGCTTTGAATATAGATATCTTGGTGTTTTGTATTTGCATCAATCTTTTTTTCTCAATAAAGATTCATTTATTTGAATCAGTAATTGTCCTGATTGTTTGCATACAGCATGATGTGAGTTTATGGCAGGGTTCCCCAACTGGCGGCCAGCGGGCCAATTATTTGGCCTGTGTGGTTTTATTTTTGCACCCCAAGTATTCTGAGCAAAAAAATAAATAAAGTGTTGTTGAAATGTCATTTTTTGCCATAAAAAATACTGTAAAAATCACCAGAAAATCAGCTCCAAATTATTTTAATTTTAGAAATCTGTACCTAAGTATTCCCACAAATAATAGTATTTGATCGTATACAAATGTAAGCAAGGTTTGAAATATATCTGTTTGGGCTTCTTGCGGTCAACTTGCAAACTACAAATTATTTGTCATTATGTTCCGGCCCCCCGAGCATCCACTCAAGAAAAAAATAATTGATTCAGCCCGCGGCTGAATCTAGTTGATGATGCCTGGTTTATGGTATACAGGAGTAGGAAAGAGAGTGAAAGCCTTAAGCAAGATTTCTTATTTTTGGACTTGGAATCTCCATCATTGCATTTATTCTGTCTGCCAATTATTTTTTTGGTGTGAACATCAAAATAATGGACAAATGATGACAGCAGAATACCAAATGTGAAAACTTTTTTTATACAAAGCAACAGAGAAAACAAAGTCCTTTTCGATAAGAACATAGAACACTGATCAATGGCAAACTGCATTCACAAGGAAGATGAAAACAAACATATGCCACACCAACTAGTGCAATTTCTCCATAGGCACATCAAACAGGACCAACCCATTTACTGGGTGAACAGACAGACACAGTTAGAACAATTGGAGAGGAAATATCACAAACACCAGATTAGCAGAGGGGTGTCTTTTAGACTAAAGACAGTGTGAAGTAATACAGAAGACTGGGCCATAGAAAATTGTCATCATGACTTTGAATGATTTTCAGATGGTATCAAATCTGATGCGGTCGACAGAATATTGGAAACATGCATGTAAACAGTCTGCATTCAATCCCCAAAATTATGCCCATTTGATATTTAAACCCCCCGTAAGATTTTGCCCTGTAAAGTTTTCAAGTTGACATAAAGCTTAAATCATGCAAAATACAACTATGAAAATGACAGTGTACAATTTTTTATTTCCCTTTTCAGCACTGCAAGCAACTGTTAGGTTCAATAACATTAGACACATTTTACATCAACAGAGATGAAAGACAACTTTGAAGGCACTTTCATACTCTAAAGTTGTTCAATTTTTACTAATACCATGATGCAATCCACATTGCCAATACGCAATAAAATAACACACAAACCATTTACAGTATTGAATAATTTGACATTACCCTGTTAAGTCTGAATTTGTTTACATCAGGATTCAGACTACAGTGCCTATCATAAGTATTCACCCCCCCTTGGATTTCTTCACATTTTATTGTGTTACAAAGTGGGATTCAAATGTATTTCATTTTTATTTGTATCTTTACCTTGATTAGATAAGTATTCACCCCCCTGAGTCAATACATGTTTGAAACACCTTTGGCAGCAATTACAGCTGTGAGTCTTCGTGGGGTAAGTCTCTAAGAGCTTTGCACACCTGGATTGAGCACACCTCAATTTTTGTCCATTATTCTTTTCTAAATTCTTCAAGCTCTGTCAAGATGTTGGTTTTCATGGCTAGACAGCAATTTTAAAGTCTAGCCATAGATTTTCAAGCAGATTTAAGGCAAAACTGTAACAGCCACTCAGGAACATTCACTGTCTTCTTGGTAACAAACTCCAGTGTAGATTTGGCCTTGTGTTGTAGGTTATTGTCCTGCTTAAAGGTGAATTACTCTCTAAGTGTCTGTTTTAAAGCAGACTGAAGCAGGTTTTCCTCTAGGATTTTGCCTGTGCTTAGCTCCATCCCATTTCTTTTTATCCTGAAAAATTCCAGTCTTTGCTGATGTCAAGCATACCCATACCATGATGAAAATACGTTACTCAGTGATGTGTTGTGTTGGATTTGTCTCAAACATAAGGCTTTGCATTTAGGCCAAAAAGTGTACTCCTTTGCCGTTTTGTTGTTGTTGTTGCAGTATTACTATAGTTTTGGAAAAACTGTTATTTAATTTTTTTAAAGGAGAGGATGAGTTACTTGAAATGTTACAGATGCTCAACAGACTAGCTACTAACCCTAACCCTTACTCTAACCCTTATTCTAAACATAACCCTAACCGTAACATAACCCTAACCGCAACATAACCATAAGCCTAACCGTAACCGCAGTTGCTTATCAACAGATAGTATGACCATGTTTGATAGCATATTGACAGTATGACTGTAGAGCATCTACAGATGGACTATCCGGACTATCCAAATAAAGTGTGACTATGTTAAAATACCTATCACATTACACATTTAGTAATGACAAATGCATTTGAAACTTCATGCACAGTAAAACATTTGTATGACTTAATACAAATATATGATCAATAGGAGGAGTGGGGGAAAGGTGTTGATAACCACACCAAGTAATAAAATAAAGACAGCACTTCTAAAAGTCTATTTCACACAATAGCCTGCTGAATTTGCTAGATCACTTTTCTTTCATTTTGATTTCGGCACAAATGAAAATATGGCACCGACTTTCCCATGGATTGATGTTTCAGCATTGTCTCAATGAAAAGTTTGGTGTTTGACTAGCCACGTGCGATTTGCACACGCAGATACAAGCCTGCTAGAGTTAGCGACAGACGGACAAGCAATATCCCCATTCGTAGTACGGATGAAGCCTGAGCTGGAATGGGAAAGTAACAGAAGCCGGCTAGCTTTAGAAAACCCTGAGTAGATCGACTGTAGTATACCCATCTGGTCTTTGTAGTTGTATCTGTGCTTGAAATTCAATACTTGACTAAGGGACCTTACGAATGTTGTATGTATGGGGGACAGAGGAAGGGGTAGTCATTAAAAACCATGTCAACCCCTATTATTTCACACAGAGTGAGTCCATGTAACTTATGTGATTTGTTAAGCCATATGTTATTCCTGAACTAATTTAGGCATGCCTAAACAAAGGGGGTGAATACTTATATGCAACAACTATATTTTAGTTATTGCATTTTTATTAATCTGTATAAAACAATAAAAAACATTTCACTTTGACATTAGAGAATTTTGTGTAGATCAATGAAAAAAAAATCAAAATTAAATCTATTTCAATCCCACTTTGTAACGCACCAAAATGTGAAAAAAATCTGCATAGACCAGTTGCCATGAATATGTTAACCATTCACCTAATTCAACATTGGCCAGTGGTCATGGTTTACCCACAATGCAGTCCTTCTACATAATATATTGTGGTGTTGAGTTTTGAGTGAATACACACAGTTAATGAATGATTTGCTCTAACATTTCCTTATTTCATTTCCATTAAAATACTGTTGGTTTAAATGACCAATGCATCTAAATTGAATTATTAATAAATATGAAAATTAACAATGTCAATGCTCAACAACTACATTAGTATTCACTTATTAGGCAAACATAATGGAATTACTCCTCCCTCGTGGAAGAAACTCTCAGCCAACTCCTAAATTAAACATCCAATTTCAATGCAAGGGAATGAATAAGCAAATACTCTTCACAGTGATATGACTGTTATGCATTACAATGAGAATGGCACTTCCCCTTGATTCACCACAACTGACAACTTATGCAGAACTTTGTGTTTGTGTGAGCGAGTATCAAAAAACGAGTCCTCATTAACAAGTGGAGACGAGACATGGCACGGTTTAAAAATAAGGAAATGGCACAGGGTGCAGCTGTGCAGTCAGGCTGCAGACCCAGCCACCAAAGAGACCAGACTGGCCTTCGCAATAATGACCCACACTGCTCTAGCTTTCAATCAGCCCCCTCTCAAAGGTCCCTCTCCTCTTTCTTCTTTGCTCTGCCTTCAGTCTGGGTGAAAGCCGTGAATGTTGTTGTGATGCGCCTTCATTCCCTCCTCTCCTGTTTAAACATGAGCCTCCTGACACAAAGCCCTGGTTTGATATGCATGTGCTCATCTGCTCGCCCGCCACAATCAGACGCTGCTCAAATCAGCGCCGTGTCAGTCAGCCGTGATTACCTGCCTCTGGCTGCCGTGGCGCAGGGAGGGACGGAAGGAGGGAGGGCGGCGGACGGGAGGGAGGGTGCAGCCATGGTTCCAGATGAAGTCGGGTAGACCAGAGAGCAGGGAGCACAGAGCAGTCATCAGGTTTTCAACATGACAGGGAGCAGGAGGCTGAGTCGGAGACTGGGCGTGCGGCTGGATAAGGGTGGGTGGGGGTTGTTTATGGGGTACCCAGGGTCTTCTTACTGGGTATTATCCTCCACCGGCTCTCTGTCTGCCTTGGTTCTCTTCTTGCCCTTCTTCAGCTTGTACACGTGGAAGGTCTTGTTTTGGAACACGCGGGTGAAGAGGGCTGTGTAGGCAGGGCCGTCTGTCTTGATGGACTCACAGAAGCGAGGGTGGGAGGCATGGACCAAGTCTGGGTCGTTGTCCCCAGGGCCATCCATGATCTAATACAAAAACACATTAGATGCATAGATGCATTCAACTGTCAGACATAATGTATTGTCATAAGTAAATAGTACCCTTGAGTTAGATTTGTACTTGTAGGTAAGATGGGGATAACAAACCACAAGGATCCAGGGAATTAAATAATTGACAAAAAAATCTCTCAATAAAGATTTCTTAGAGTTGTGCCAATCTCTACGTGATGTTGATGTGGGGTTCACATGCAGTGAAACATTGCCAGCCCTACATACACCACTCGTGAAGGAAGAGACTGTGTATGCAAGGCAAGCATGCCTCCGGAAATCCAAATAACCAGTGACTCATTTATTCCTAGTATCAAAAGCGGGAGGAGAGAAAATACATCTTTCAACCAGAGGTGATACGCAGATCAGAGGAGGATGAATCTCGAGACCCAATGCTGCCTGTAATTGAGCCCTTTCAAAGCAATCATACTTTGAAGTGTCTTTGAGTGACAGAGGCTGACAGACAACATGTGATTTATAGAGAGCACATGCAAACACACACCAATCTAACCCCACATCAACATCACGTAGAGATTGGCGTGCACGCACACACACCCAAACAACCCTCCCCATCTCACTCTCACAAACACAGACACCCAAAGAATCCATCCCTCACTCCCTTTCTCTTATACTGAAGCAGTCCAATCAATATTCCTCCTATCAACTCTCTAAAAAACTATATTTTAACCAAACAATCTGCCTCCTGGTCAAACAAACACTTACACGTCAAACACTCACACGTGTACATGCATGCACGTACAGACATATATTTGTGAAAGAGCTGGCATCACAGAATCCCAACCCCTGCCATTACAGAACAGAAAACAACACCTACATGTCCGTTGGACAGATCCAGCAGGTCTCTGAGCCTGCAGCCCCGGCCATGCCTCCTCTCGTAGCAGATGCTGTCCTCCATCACCACGAAATCAGCCCCCGCCGCACGCAGGATCCTGTGGACCTCCTCTGGGGATTGCTGGGCGTAGATCTGATACACCTGAAACGACACAGAGATTAACCAGGAGGAGAGAAACACACATAGGGGATTACAGACACACCTGTAAACATGGAGGACAACACAGCACAAAACAACATCGGGCTCAGATAGACACACACACAGGCAGGCATGACTTTGGGGATTAGATAGAGGGCTATGAGAGGCCTTGCCATGAGGGTTAACAGTAAGCCGTGCTGGTGCTGGGGGGCTGAGTGGCAGAGAGCCACGCAGCAGGGTGATGTGGAGGGAGCATTCTGCTCATGTCCCACGGCAGAGCCAGAGCCCCCACCCTGAGGAGCCCTCCCACAGCTGCAGAGCTTCATTAGTCAGAGCTCTGCCTGGAGAGCTTCGTGAGCCCCACACCGCACAGCACCACAAGCCGTAGAGCACCTCCCACAGAGTGGCAGAACGCTCTGTACCCAACCATCCAGCAGCCCTGCACCATCTCCTCTCTGCCTGTCTGCCTCCCCCTCACCTAGCCCCACACTCTGCACTGCCTAACAAGCTTTAGAGACGGTTCACACCACCACAATTAATCTCTGCATCTGACAAACGCTACTTGCTATCCCTGGGTGAGATGAAAACATGGCGTTGTCTGGCTGATAAAGTCGCACGCTTCTGTAAAACTGAGGGGAAAGCCAGACAGGAAATATAAAAGTGACTGATAGCATGCTCTCATGTTGAGGTTTATGTGACTCCATTTCCCCGCCGCGGTTGACGTCCCCTCCATGCTAATATCACAGCACAGGTATATGGAAGTGGTGTCCTCTCCTTGATAGCGTCATCAATGGAGTGGGGTCAATTCTATTACAATTCTGGAGATGATTTGAACACAGCCCTTTCTTTTCCATGTGGACTGTTTAATTCCCTGTTTGGACTGAATTCAAATGCAATTGACCCCCAACCCTGGTCTTCACATATTTACAGGTGTACTGTTTTCTCCATATTGCTCTAATCTCAGGTCTTGTGTAAAAAAGAAACATAATTAAGTAAAGTATAGAAGTAGGATCAGGATAAAGGGTTTGTTTTACCTGTCTGGTCCGCTCTCTCAGGGCTCGGTCTTCATAGTGTGGGTGGTTAGTCAGGACTCTCCCTGTGCACAGTTTGATCCCAGCCAGCAGCTGCATGCTCCCAGCAAACACCGCCTTCTTGGGGGTCTTTGAGCTGGAAGACAAGGAAGAAGAAGTGTTTTCTGGGAGATCAGCGTTTATACTGTTGTATGCTACACAGAGGGCAATGACGCATGTGAGCATTATTCACTACAGAAGCTCCCCGTCAGCATGCTACAGCCGCTTCTCAAACCTGGATAGAAGATGTTAACATGCTGTAGAGCCAGTGCATCTTTGTATTTAACAAGAGGGGTTATTGTTGTTGGTTTCTCATGACTCAGTAGCAAGCTAATACCATACTGATATCTGTACTTGGACACTGCAGGTATTCTTTACTCAATGCCATCAAGTTCTTTTACAATAATCTTTGCAGATGTATTATATGTTTTCTTCACAGCTACAATGGCACTTTTTTTCTTCTATTAGTAACAAATACTTTGCGGAGGCACAACTTCAATGAGAGATTCTAAGCCTAGTGAAAGGACAGCCTTCAAAAGGCTGCTGGGAACATATCATTTTTCTCAGACAAATAAACCATGTCTCTTTCTTTCGCAAAGGAATCTTTCTCAAGGTGTTCTAGAGAGGTGGTGAGTGAGGACTCACAGGAAGGACGAAGCCCAGTGTGGAATGTGTTGTATTAGTACAGCTTAGAGAGACTGACTCTAAGTAGAGCCTTGTTATTACCACAGCCCGACCTTGGCCTTCTCTGTCTCATAACACTGATCACCGCTCATGGAGACAATGACTCATCCTGCACCTGTACATGCCTGAGACACCCTCTGACTAGCTACACAACCTGGGGGCATTTTTTACTCAACATGAGCCACAACTCAGAGGAAAGAACAATTGTTATGTTTACAGTCTGGGCTGTATACACTCTCCCTCAACCCGGCAAGTCTGATTGCATGGATACACTCGTGTGGAGAGAGGGCACTTTCCACTCATAGCACCCATTTCCAGTAATAAATATATTGGTGGTAATTGTTGGTAACAACTGAGGAATCAGGTCATTTCAGGCAGAAACAAGCAGCACAGTGTGTGCATAGTTGGTTGAGAACCACCTGTGGAGCTGTTAACCTGTGGAGCGGTTGTTCAGGTATTTCACAAATCAATTAGGCAGTCGAGAACAGCACAAAAGAGCATAAGAAAAAGGTATTTTTCTCAAACACACACACACACAGGTAGAATTAAATCATTTCAGTTTAATTGACTATTCCCTGGTGGAGGAGCCATTGTGTTATCTATATTAGAAAAGGAAATCAAATCACTCACTAACTCTGTAAGAGATCATAGCAGAGCCTCTTTCACAGCAACTATTATTTCCTCAATTCCTCCTCCAAACATGTTGATTTGCCATTCAAATCCACATTACAGAGAAGGGGGGATATGTTGAGACCGCTGGCTCCCTCTGGGCTGCGGGGGGGAGCGATAGGACGCCCCCACTAGGAACATTAGCAGCTTGCGGGGCTAATCGCCAGCCACCCTGGGCTGTGTGTGATGGGGTGATGGGACTGACCTCTGACCTGCTCTTCCGGGTCACTTCCTCCTCTCCATGGGAGTTTGCTTTTAATTACTGCATATTCAAGTGGGATTCCTCAGCTGATTTATATTTCATTTCAGATTTATATTCTGGTATGTAAATGCCTGCCGCCCCGGTGACATTATAAAAATGTATTAACGCTGTTAATAGTTGGTGGAGGAGGACACGGATGGTGACTAAGTGTGAAATTGGTATGCATGACTGTGCCTGTGCGTTAGTTACGCTACACAAAGTGGTAGTGGTGCAGGCAGAGAGGGAAAGAGAACAGATAGGTGGAACGTTTCAGTGTCTATGAATCAGATAGTAAAGAAGGAGGATAGCCTACTAATGTCTACACAGCATGAGTCCAAAAGAGGCAGGTACGGGAGAGAGGGGGATGCTAACAGCTCTGAGATGCTAACGGTTGTGATTTGTAAGGAGCTCAGGTACGGCAGAGATGGAGACAGAAACAGAGATGTGCCTGTCAAGTCCATCCTAAGATCCTACAGCTCTGCTCATCCTGTCTGACTGCTCTGCTCACAGTTAGAAGAGATGGATCAGCAAAGATATCGGCTGTTACACCAACCAGCCACTATAACGGCCAATTCAACCGCCACGGAGTTTGGAGACAGAGTGGAGGGTGATGATGATTGATTGACTGACTGATCGGTTGAGAGAGGGAGAGTTGGCTAAATTTCATTATAATGCAATTTCACAGTGGGCGAAGTCATAAGCTATCTATTGATAATATCCTGAGGGGGAATAACTGTGGTTCATACAAGGATAGACAGAGTATGACTTACTGCTACTGAGATCCTCTGGGGACTATGTATAATAAATACAACTTATACAAGGAAGAGAAAAGGCAAGCTGACAGAACGACAATTAGCAAGGAGTGAAAGTGGAGGATATGAGAGTGTCAAAAACATGAAGAAATCCACAGTTTACAGCGTGAAAACGTCTTCTTTGTTCCAGTGGTGAAAAGAAATTACAGCCACTCTTACAGCTGCAGAAGTTTCCCAGGGACAACAAAAGCTTCATTTATCTTCATTATTCAAAAACAAGGCAACATTCTGAAATAACTCAGCTTTTCAGAATCAAAGGATGGCGTGACAATATTAACCACCAAACAAAAGAGGGGAAATTAATTGCATGGCAGACCAATGCTCTAAATGATAAGGGTGTCTGTGATGACGGTGCCTCACAATGCTGTCAAAGACCGTAATGACAGACACCAGCACAACTTAAAGGGCACCATCAAGCGTGGAGCCAGCAATGTCAAGAGAGAGAAATTATCAAGCATTTTCATACACAATGGTGAGCTACCACTGACTTCTGAATGTGCATTTAGCAGGAGGAAGCTGGAAGGACTCACAATTACAGACTCAGCTTTAACTGAAAAAGAAACAGTCAGCAAACCAGTTTCATCAAGAAAGTCTGGAGCTGTATGTTGTGTTTCCTCTTCTCTCCTTAATGTCTCTGTTGCACTGATTAAATCTCCTGAACTGCAGATTTATTACAATGGAACTATTTTAAAAAGTGCCCATGGATACATGGTATGTTCAAGTACATTCCCCAGCAAGATTACCCTAACAAACCAATGAGTACTTCATGTAAATACTGTGAATGAGACAGAAATATATGTTCCCTGTTTTTCGTTCACATTCACTCTGAATTTGTGATAATCTACAAACAAGAGCAGCTATGCCCGAGTCTCATGAAACACGATCCCTGCTTAACTCTTTCATCTTAAATGTAATTAGCGCATGGCAAGAGGCTTAATGTGCCAGCACCAGAGAAGGTAACTCTACACGCTAATCCGCCAAGCAAATAGGATTTTCTCTGGAGGCAGAGAACCTGTGTCATTTCACAGAGTGAATCTTTTTAAGGTCTGTCCTCCACAGTCAGTCTCTCTCAGAGCCAAGGAGCCACGCCAAATTCACCTCCATCTCTGATCACATCAGGACTGATTGGCTTGATAAAACCCTTCCACAGGGGCCTGGGCCATGGGCTGAACCACTGCCAACAGCTGGGTCCTCTCCAGACCTCCATGTCTTATTCATGCACCACAGCTCACCAAATCTACATTTCACATAAACACATGCAGTCACAGGCAATGATGGTGGAACTTGATCTGTGGAACAAAGCTAACCTGATTTGCGTTTGTTTGACATCTACGCCTGTATGTATGTGTGCGTATGTGCGCACATTAAAGCAGAGGTACCGAGGATTTTACCTAATCCAGGTCATCAGCTCAACAGTGTCAGGGTCGTAGAATTCTCTCAGTTCTGATACTTCCGTCATCAGTTTGGGCCAGAACTATAGAGAAATAGCACAAAGACAAATACTCTAAATAACCAAACTTCACAGAAACACATCAGCTCACGATAATCACTTTCATATAAACTAAACACATCCATTCACACATCCCAATGACTGCCAATTCCTCTGCACTGTTGATAGAGTGAGGAGAGGAGAGAGCCAAAGTCCTTAACACACTAGTCACCAGCCGGTAGTTGCTTCCATTTTTAACTCCATCTCAGTTCACAGTAACTGCAATTTCTGTGGGTGAGAAAATATTGTACTGCAAATTGTGATTAAATAGCAAGGCAAATGTCTCACCTTGTAATATAGAAAGCCCAGAATGACAAGTGGAACCGTGTACCTGATCAGCCTCAGCTGCAAAATGAGAGAGAAAATAACCAGGGTGAACATTACAATCTGTTGCGATATTTAGTTTCTCTCTACAGACATGTTGGTGTCAGTTGGTTGTTACCATATTGCCACCTACTGGATTAGGTTGTAACTGTTCAGCACAGAACAAGCAGGCTATCATTCCAATGTGTTCCTACTGCCTCAGTGTAGGACTGGGCCATCTCATGGTGGAATCCAGAACCTGCTAACTGTGCTCATTCCTCTGTAAAAGAAACCTTAGGGATCTGAACTGTTGCCTTTACCTTTGTTTTAGTGTTACAGCGGATCATGTTAAGGCAGAGGGACCACAGCTCCTTGCCACACACGCCATAGGCAGCAAAGGCACACATATGGCCAGTCCACAGATATTTCATTCTGGAGAGAGGAGAAGAGCAGTGTATTTAAAAGATCAGAACAACCTTTTTTTAAACAAAATGTACTTTGCATTATAAGGATATTATCAGCAGCGTTCTCCTTATATTATGGGGCAGCAAAATAAACATCACAAATTGGAAATGGTGTGTGATCAAAACATTTGGCAGATAAGGTAAGAGCAGTTTGGAGAGAGCAAGACAAGTGGAGAAAAAAAGAGAAGAACAGGGGTAAGCCAACTCAAATGGAGGACAGATGGGTAGATTAAACTGAAAGAATAAGGAGAGAGAGATAAAGAAAGTAGATGTTGGTTATTCAGCATAATTCCAGACCTGTCTGGAGAGATATCATCTTGAACAAGCAGCGGAGCTCACCTCATGGTGCTGAACGCCAGGAGGCCGAAGAAGACAGTGTGTAACAGATTGTAGGCGACATCTGCCCGCATACAGATCGGCCGCTCCTCGCATCGGCCTTTCAGCGGCCGCCCAACCGCTGAAGACTCACTGAGAATAGGAAAAACATTGATGCATAATACATAAAGGCGAGGGCTGGTGACATTAGGCAGATTATTCCGTTTGTCTTTCGCTCTCCTCCAAAAGGTTAACTGGTGTATCTGCAATGAGCCTGTAATGATTCGCTTGTGGGAGGGTTGAGTGCCTGGGGGCCCAGACTGGGCTCTGATAACTAGAATGAGAAGGGGACAAAAGGATAGGAGCAGGATTCTCTCTCTCTCTCATCAAACAGGGAAGGGACAACACAGTGAGACGTGACATGCTCAGATATTCACAGGGCCTTAGGGAGAGGACTCAAGAGGATTGTTGTGATGCTGCCTGCCACCCACTACCTCAATATGTTCTATTAGGTCTCCACACAACTAGAGAATAACAGAACTAACTGACAGCAGTGGCATATGAGTGGCTAAATCATTATTATATGTGCAAAGACTGTGGTCGAGTAGTAAGTGGGCTCTAAGGACATCATGTACCATGACCCCAGAGACTGGGGTTCAATCCCTGTTCTCCTCCTCATCTACCTCACCGTCAGTTGCTAAACTATCTAAATAAAGCATATACAAATACAAAAAGGAGAGCCTCTTTACTAATTATTAAGAACAATAATTAATTACTAATTGCAAATAATTATTATGTGATAGATGTGTGGGCTACCAACAAGCAACCTCTTGAACTCTACTCTATCTCAGTGTTTTGGAGCCAGATAAGACAGGTGTCAGCATGACAGATGGTGAGGGAATTTAAGGAAACAGAATGAAGAAAATAAATGAAAACAACAAAATGTGGATAAGCGTTGCAATATGCACATGGGATTAAGGCTGATAGCGCTTGGAAGCCAGGGACCCGTTATGTCCGGGGCATGACTCAACCATATGTGGACTGTGTCCGAATGTCATTCTCAGTCCATTGCCACAGGAGGAGATCCAACTTACCAGAGGTTGGCCAGTGTTACCAGCGCCAGCATCACCAGGAGCACAATCAGGGTGACGAGGTAAGGGTATGCCAGCAGAGTGCCAGCCAAGCGGTCAAACGTGTCCAAGGGAAGCAGCCCAAAGGCTTCCTCACACAGGTACAGACTGGCATCGAAATCTCTGAGAGAGAGAGAGAGAGAGAGAGAGAGAGAGAGAGAGAGAGAGAGAGAGAGAGAGAGAGAGAGAGAGAGAGAGAGAGAGAGAGAGAGAGAGAGAGAGAGAGAGAGAGAGAGAGAGAGAGAGAGCTCTTGTTACACTGTGGCTTTGAGTATTGACATAGTAGTTGTTTCCCTCAGTTTGTTGGATACTTAATCTGAAATACTACAGCACATTTCCTCTGGGTGTATAAATTATATTTAATATGCGATTAATGAAAGGGGTTTTATCATCTCAGGATTGTACACTAGGTACTTTCTGAAGTGTCAGTTAGTGAGTCATTAAAACATGGTAAATAACTCAGTGTATACTCTACCTCGTAGGCCCCAAGCCAAACTTGGACTTTATGAATTTAAAGATGTGTTCATCAGATCGGAGCTGCAACGCTTGCTGTCCAAACATGAAGATACACAGGGAAAAAGAGATAAGGTCAGGTTATGCATGTCTGAGTCAACATGAAAGAGCCAGACATTTAAAAACAACTTCCTTAGATGCAAGTTAGCATAATGTACATTACAGATGCATAGTTATTCCCATGTAAGTGTCAGTTATATGCTGTATTTTGAAACAGCTGGAAATAAATGTTTTCACAATGTCCTCCCAACTCCTGTGCGCCTTTCTCCTGGCTTCTCCACAGCTCATAACACACAGAGGACTTCTTATTCATTCCTGGTGACAGGAGGAGGATGTAGTACAAGTCTCAGGGCTCACCTTGGCTAAATAATTAATAGTGAATGTAAGTGCAAGGACGAGGACGGTGTGAAGGAGCAGCTTTCCCAGCCGCGCTGCAAGACCTCCCGTCTTCAGCCCTCTCTCCATGGAACACAAGGCAAAAAGACAAAGAGCTTTCAAACATACAAACAGTGTCTCAGTATGTCATGACCACATTGCACTTACTGTATATCACGACTGTCAAATAAACCAGTCAAATCCCTGGGGTATTAAGAGGAACATGCAGTATGTGTTTGGGCTCACCTGGAAGTGCTTGACAAAGAGAGCGGCCACAATGAAGCTGAGAGCCAGAGAGCCCAGGATCATGGAGTTACAGAACTGCAGCAGCCACACCGATAGCAGGCTGCTTACCTGGACTAGGTACAGGCAGGTCACCTGGAGAAAGGAATCGGTAATAATAATAATATATATATAATATACAGTATGCCAATTATCAGACGCTTTTATCCAAAGCGACTTACAGTCATGTGTGCATACATTTTACCTATGGGTGGTCCCGGGAATAGAACCCACTACCCTGGCGTTACGAGCACCATGCTCTACCAACTGAGCTACAAAGTCCACACCCTGCCTCAACCCTAACTTCATGTCCACATCCCGGCTCAACTCTAACCCTAGCCTCAAAGATTTGGCATGGGCCCTCAGATCCTCAAAAAGCTATAAAGCTGCACCATGAGAGCATCTTGACTGGCTTCATCACCGCTTGGTATGGCAACTGCTTGGCATCCGAACATATGGCACTACAGAGGGTAGTGCGTACGGCCCAGTACATCACTGGGGCTGAGCTCCCTGCCATCCAGGACCTCTGTACCAGGTGGTGTCTGTGGAAGGCCCTAAAAATTGTCAAAGACTCTCTCTGCTACCACATGGCAAGCTGTACCAGAGCACCAAGTCTGGGACTAAAAGGCTCCTGAACAGCTTCTACCCTCAAGCCATAAGACTGCAGAACTGTTCATCAAATGGCTACCCGGACTATTTGCATTGACCCCCTTTTTTTTTGCACTGGCTCTATGCACACTCACTGGACTCTACCCACATACTACACTGACATTCCAACACACACTACATACGCTCACACGCACAAAACACACACACATGCTTCTGCTACTCTGTTTATTATATATCCTGATTGCCTAGGTACATATTACCTCAATTACCTCGTACCCCTGCAAATAAATTGACTCAGTACCAGTACTCCTTGTATATAGCCTCGTTATTGTTATTTTATTGTGTTACTATTTGCAAGTCTACACCTGTTGCATTTGGCGCATGTGACAAATAAAATAGTATTTGAACCAAACCCTAAACCTAGCTTCATGTGCACATCCCGGTTCAGTCCTAACCCTAGCCTCAACCTGATTGCTTGAGCTGCCATCCACAACATCCTCTATCATCATTCACAGGTCCTTCATCTGTGACAGATTGAATCTCGGCCAAAGACACTTTAGGAACAAAATAATACATCACATATTTGGCTGAATGCTGTGACGTGCATGATGAGAGATTAATGATGTCACAGACCTGTTCTGTGGAGATGAGGTCCAGACAGTCCAGGGTGAAGATGATGAGAGCCTGAACCAGCAGGATGAACTGATTAAACTGCCAGGTGAGGCAGAAACACAACGTGGCCAGGAACATCAGCCACAACACCACCTTCTGCACACAGGAAAGGAGTGGACAGAACAACACAGACCCCATTATAAATCAGCCACTTGACTCCAAAACAACTTCTAAGAGAATATACTTCATTTGATAGTGATTCGTTACCTATTTCAACAGATTTTCTCTTCTCTCCTATTCTGGTCTAATCGTATGTATATGTGTGTAGAGCACAGAGGAGATGGTGGTGTCCTCTGCTAGGTTGAGTGTCTACCTGCTGGATGGTTTTGAGGTGAGGCCTCAGGTAGCAAGTGATGGCAGCTATCTGGAGAGCGAAGAAGGGAAGGGACCAGTTCTCCCTGAGAGAGATGGTGAACTCCACCCGCGTTGTGTCCACTCTGGAACACAAATGACACATGGAACGCTCAGACCACCAGCATTTCATTTTCCATTCAGATCTTAGGTCAAAGTGGGTGTTTTAGGAATGGCCTTGTGACAGCTTGCAGTAGGACATCAAGTTTGTCCAGTAGCTATAATTGTATAACCTGTATGCCAGTTTGGTTCTGCTCTCTTGCCAACTCCTTGTGTCATGTTTAGCTTGACATTGACAATGGAGTAGGCAAAAGCGCCAACAGATCTGGGACCAGGCTAATACGTTTAGCCTTTTAATGAATTATTAGTTGGGTGTGCGTGGTGAGATGTATACCTGTTGAGGATGTACCAGACTCCAGTGAGAGCCCCTGCCAGCCAGGAGCCACTGAGCAGCCAGCTGGTGATGAATAGGGCAATGACATACACCGCCTGGAGGGAAAACACTGTGTAGATATAGAAATACACTGGCTCCAGGTAGGCCTGAAATAAACACACACACACAGACCATGAAATAATGTCCAATTATCTCCATTATTATTTGAAATAGACAAGTGTGGTCTCTGTATTACCTGTATGGGTAGAATCCTATAGAGAACACCTAGGAACACCTCCTGATAGATGTTCATGCGTTGCAGGAGGTTGATGGTTCTCTTGGATTCAGTGGCATTATCATTGATGAGTTCTGAAAGACCTGATCACATACAGACAGAAAGAAGGTTCTTTCTTAAAATAACTGTCCAGGGTTTCAAGATTTTTATTAAATCTATCTGCCAATTAATTACAATATGAGTGAAATGGTTCTCCTTCCAGAAAATTGTAATTAAATGTTAAGAAGCAGCTTTTCTGTGTTGGAATGGTGTAGGTGTACACCAACAACGGAACAGAATGGTGAGGAAGAGGAGTCTAACGTGTCCGGAAGCGACTTCACCATTCATTTTCTAGATTCAGGTTCACACAAACATAATTTTAAGCTTTGCTTTACTATTGACAGCTGATTTCGGGATATTGATTCGCTCTCCTTAAATATTTGTCATCTTATATATTCGTTTCAGTCTCTGAATTGTTTAATCAAACTTTTCGCCGCCAGCTCCTGATATCAGGGAATAAAAACTACAATCTATACCCTGAATTAGCCTAGTGCACATGTGCGCCCAGCTACAGTATATCCTGTCCCGAGCTCGTTTCCCCCGGTTTTCCCTGGCTAAACTAGCTGAACTATGCTACTAGTTATCGTCCTCATTGCCAAACTTGATAAATACTGCACCCTCAACTTCAAAACGTATTTGCTAGTTATACGTACAATCATGTAACTAAGAAATTCACTGGAAAGAAACTTCAGAATTATGTATTGTTTTGTTGAATAGCCATGACTGGTTTGAGCTATCTGTCATGTTGTAAGACAATGGTGGCAAAGGATATCATTTCTACTTAACATGGCATCATTGGCTGGACGTTTCTAACTTTCTGTGACTTGGCCACTTTCAGTATGTAGTGTAATACAGCAACTCATTCAAACTAAGTAGGCTCTAACTTCTCCGGAGTTATAGGGTCTGCGATACTAATGCCACATTTGCGTGACAATTTAAAAAACGTGACGCTTCACTCCGATCTTATATAAACTCTGCTGAGTTATAATTCCGGGATAAGATCACCCTAACTTGAGCAGATGGAGTCATGTAAACAAAGTGTGATCATGTTTCCAGTCTGTTGGGCAAGAGCATTATTGAATTACGTTTGGTTTGAGCAAATAGTACCTCGTAAATAGCAACCAAGATCTGAGGTTTCGCTCCAGGCCTGGCAATGTCATCACAATTTTGAGTATGCCTTTGATTAGAGCCAGGCAATATGACTGAGCTACAGTGGGGGAAAAAGTATTTAGTCAGCCACCAATTGTGCAAGTTCTCCCACTTAAAAAGATGAGAGAGGCCTGTAATTTTCATCATAGGTACACGTCAACTATGACAGACAAATTGAGAAAAAAGAAATCCAGAAAATCACATTGTAGGATTTTTAATGAATTTATTTGCAAATTATGATGGAAACTAAGTATTTGGTCACCCTACAAACAAGCAAGATTTCTGGCTCTCACAGACCTGTAACTTCTTCTTTAAGAGGCTCCTCTGTCCTTCACTCGTTACCTGTATTAATGGCACCTGTTTGAACTTGTTATCAGTATAAAAGACACCTGTCCACAACCTCAAACAGTCACACTCCAAACTCCACTATGGCCAAGACCAAAGAGCTGTCAAAGGACACCAGAAACAAAGTTGTAGACCTGCACCAGGCTGGGAAGACTGAATCTGCAATAGGTAAGCAGCTTGGTTTTATGAAATCAACTGTGGGAGCAATTATTAGGAAATGGAAGACATACAAGACCACTGATAATCTCCCTCGATCTGGGGCTCCACGCAAGATCTCACCCTGTGGGGTCAAAATGATCACAAGAACGGTGAGCAAAAATCCCAGAACCACACGGAGGGACCTAGTGAATGACCTGCAGAGAGCTGGGACCAAAGTAACAAAGCCTACCATCAGTAACACACTATGCCGCCAGGGACTAAAATCCTGCAGTGCCAGACGTGTCCCCCTGCTTAAGCCAGTACATGTCCAGGCCCGTCTGAAGTTTGCTAGAGTGCATTTGGATGATCCAGAAGAGGATTGGGAGAATGTCATATGGTCAGATGAAACCAAAATATAACTTTTTGGTAAAAACTCTACTCGTTGTGTTTGGAGGACAAAGAATGCTGAGTTGCATCCAAAGAACACCATACCTACTGTGAAGCATGGGGGTGGAAACATCATGCTTTGGGTCTGTTTTTCTGCAAAGGGACCAGAACGACTGATCCGTGTAAAGGAAAGAATGAATGGGGCCATGTATCGTGAGATTTTGAGTGAAAACCTCCTTCCATCAGCAAGGGCATTGAAGATGAAACGTGGCTGGGTCTTTCAGCATGACAATAATCCCAAACACACCGCCCGGGCAACGAAGGAGTGGCTTCGTAAGAAGCATTTCAAGGTCCTGGAGTGGCCTAGCCAGTCTCCAGATCTCAACCCCATAGACAATCTTTGGAGGGAGTTGAAAGTCTGTGTTGCCCAGCGACAGCCCCAAAACGTCACTGCTCTAGAGGAGATCTGCATGGAGGAATGGGCCAAAATACCAGCAACAGTGTGTGAAAACCTTGTGAAGACTTACAGAAAACGTTTGACCTGTGTCATTGCCAACAAAGGGTATATAACAAAGTATTGAGAAACTTTTGTTATTGACCAAATACTTATTTTCCACCATAATTTGCAAATAAATTCATTAAAAATCCTACAATGTGATTTTCTGGATTTTTTTTTCTCATTTTGTCTGTCATAGTTGACGTGTACCTATGATGAAAATTACAGGCCTCTCTCATCTTTTTAAGTGGAAGAACTTGCACAATTGGTGGCTGACTAAATACTTATTTTCCCCACTGTATATATCCATGCATAAATACAACAGCACCCCATCCTGAGAGGTCCTGTTTAAAGATGAAGTACGACACAGGTCACTTACAACGCCAGAGTTTTTTTCTCCTTCATCTCCCTTTTAACTAGCTTTGTTACCATGGTTACATAACAAGCCATTGGTCAAATAGCTCTCCCATTACATTATGATGAAGGGACCCGACCAGACAGACAAGTGGACCGAGGGGTATGCCAATGCCCGCTGTCTCGCTATTTAAGGACCTCTATTTCAGCAAATGCTGTATAATTAAAATAAGGGGAATTAATTTAATGAGGGCGAAAAGATTACTGTCCAATGTTTCCGAGCGAAGGAAATGTTTTAAAAGTGAATGGGCTCATTTCCAGGGCATTGAGTTCTGAAAGAGCACTTGTGACCATAAAAGGTTAGGATTCTCATTGGACTCTGTGTTATTTCCCCTGAGATGACCAGTATAATAACCTGAGGATGTGGGAGTAGGGGGGGCTAGCCTATATCTACTGTGACGTGCAGGGAGTAGCGGTCATCGTACCATACCTTGCAGTATGGAGGGAGCTCTCAACATCTGTTTATAGTACGAGTAGTACAGGCCACATTCTGTCCGAAAGGAGATTTCACGCTCAACTTCCTGAAATATAAGTAGAGATAGAAATACATTTACAAAACATGAAACAATATAAAACACAAAGATCGAGTGCATTTGGAAAGTATTCAGACCCCTTGACTTTTTCCACATTTTGTTACGTTACAGCCTTATTTTAAAATTGATTAAATTGTTTTTTTCCCCCCTCATCAATCTACACACAATACCCCATAATGTCAAAGCAAAAACAGATTTTTAGAATATTTAGCAAATGTATTAAACATTTCAAAACTGAAATATGACATTTACATAAGTATTCAGACCCTTTACTCAGTACTTTGTTGAAGCACATTTGGCAGCGATTACAGCCTCAAGTCTTCTTGGGTATGACACTACAAGCTTGGCACACCTATATTTGGGGAGTTTCTCCCATTCTTCTATGCAGATCCTCTCAAGCTCTGTCAGGTTGAATGGGGACTGTCGCTGCACAGCTATTTTCAGTTCTCTCCAGAGATGTTCGATCAGGTTCAAGTCTGGGCTCTGGCTGGGCCACTCAAGGACATTAAGACACTTGTCCCGAAGACATTCCTGCGTTGTCTTGGCTGTGTGCTTAGGGTCGTTGTCCTGTTGGAAGATGAAACTTCACCCCAGTCTGAGGGCCTGAATGCTCTGGAGCAGGTTTTCATCAAGAATCTCTCTGTACTTTGCACCGTTCATCTTTGCCTCGATCCTGACTAGTCTCCCAGTTCATGCCGCTGTAAAACATCCCCCCAGCATGATGCTGCCACCACCATGCTTCACCGTAGGGATGGTGCCAGGTTTCCTCTAGATGTGATGCTTTGCATTCAGGCCAAAGAGTTCAATCTTGGTTTCATCAGTCTGATGGTCTGAGAGTCCTTTAGGTGCCTTTTGGCAACTCCAAGTGGGCTGTCATGTGCCATTTACTGAGGAGTGACTTCCGTCTGGCCACTCTACCATAAAGGCCTGATTGTTGGAGTGCTGCAGAGATGTTGTCATTCAGGAAGGTTCTCCCATCTCCACAGAGGAACTCTAGAGCTCTGTGAGAGTGACCATCGGGTTCTTGGTCACCTCCCTGACCAAAGCCCTTCTCCCGATTGCACAGTTTGGCCGGGCGGACAGCTCTAGGAAGAGGCTTGGTGGTTCTAAACTTCTTCCATTTAAGAATGATGAAGGCCACTGTGTTCTTGGGGACCTTCAATGCTGCAGACATTTTTTGGTACCCTTCCCCAGATCTGTGCCTCGACACAATCCTTTCTCGGAGCTCTACGGACAATTCCTTCGACCTCATGGCTTGGTTTCTGCTCTGACATGTCCGTCAACTGTGGGACCTTATATAGACAGGTGTGTGCCTTTCCAAATCAAGTCCACTCAATTGAATTTACCACCGGTGGACTCCATTCAAGTTGTATAAAACATTTCAATGATGATCAATGGAAACAACATGCACCTGAGCTCAATTTTGAGTCTCATAGCAAAGGGTCTGAATACGTAAATAAGGTATTTTTTAAATTTCTAATACATTTGCAAACATTTCAAAAACCTGTTTTTGCTTTGTCATTATGGGGTATTGTGTGTAGATTGATGAGAGAAAAAAAAATATGTAATGAATTTAGGAATAAGGCTGTACAGTTGAAGTTGGAAGTTTACATACACCTTAGCCAAATACATTTAAACTCAGTTTTTCCACAATTCCTGACATTTAATCATAGTAAAAATTCCCTGTCTTAGGTCAGTTAGGATCACCACTTTATTTTAAGAATGTGAAATGTCAGAATAATAGTAGAGAGAATTATTTCTTTCAGCTTTTAGTTCTTTAATCACATTCCCAGTGGGTCAGAAGTTTACATACACTCAATTAGTATTTGGTAGCATTGCCTTTAAATTGTTTAACTTGGGTCAACCGTTTCGGGTAGCCTTCCACAAGCTTCCTACAATAAGTTGGGTGAATTTTTGCCCATTCCTCCTGACAGAGCTGGTGTAACCTGAGTCAGGTTTGTAGGCCTCCTTGCTCGCACACGCTTTTTCAGTTCTGCCCACACATTTTCTATAGTATTGAGGTCAGGGCTTTGTGATGGCCACTCCAATACCTTGACTTTGTTGTCCTTAAACCATTTTGCCACAACTTTGGAAGTATGCTTGGGGTCATTGGCCATTTGGAAGAACCATTTACGACCAAGCTTTAACTTCCTGACTGATGTCTTGAGATGTTGCTTCAATATATCCACATAATTTTCCTTCCTCATGATACCATCTATTTTGTGAAGTGCACCAGTCCCTCCTGCAGCAAAGCACCCCCACTGCATGATGCTGCCACCCCCGTGCTTCACGGTTGGGATGGTGTTCTTCGGCTTGCAAGCAGCCCCCTTTCTCCTCCAAATATAACGATGGTCATTATGGCCAAACAATTCTATTTTTGTTTCATCAGACCAGAGGACATTTCTCCAAAAAGTAAGATCTCTGTCCCCATGTGCAGTTGCTTTTTTTATGGTGGTTTTGGAGCAGTGGCTTCTTCCTTGCTGAGCGGCCTTTCAGGTTATGTTGATATAGGAATTGTTTTACTGTGGATATAGTTACTTTTGTAACTGTTTCCTCCAGCATCTTCACAAGGTCCTTTGCTGTTGTTCTGGGACTGATTTGCACTTTTCGCACCAAAGTACGTTCATCTCTAGGAGACAGAACGTGTCTCCTTCCTGAGCGGTATGACGGCTGCTTGGTCCCATGTTGTGTTTATACTTGCGTACTATTGTTTGTACAGATGAACGTGGTACCTTCAGGCATTTGGAAATTGCTCCAAAGGATGAACCAGACTTGCGGAGGTCTACAATTTTTTTCCCTCAGAGGTCTTGGCTGATTTCTTTTGATTTTCCCATGATGTCAAGCAAAGAGGCACTGAGTTTGAAGGTAGGCCTTGAAATACATCCACAGGTACACCTCCAATTGACTCAAATTATGTCAATTAGCCTATCAGAAGCTTCTAAAGCCATGACATCATTTTCTGGAATTTTCCATGCTGTTTAAAAAGGCACAGTCAACTTACTGTATGTAAACTTCTGACCCACTGGAATTGTGATACAGTGAATTATAAGTGAAATAATCTGTCTGTAAACAATTGTTGGAAAAGTTACTTGTGCCATGCACAAAGAAGATGTCCTAACCGACTTGCCAAAACTATAGTTGAACATGAAATGTGTGGAGTGGTTGAAAAACGAGTTTTCCAACCTAAGTGTATGTAAACTTCCGACTTCAACTGTATGTTTAATGCATGCACAGCCGTTAATATCGTCTGGGCCATAAACATGTTGACTATAATAGACAGGTGCATTAAAAATGCATGGTTAAGAATGGGAAAGTGAAATACACTGCTCAAAAAAATAAAGGGAACACTTAAACAACACAATGTAACTCCAAGTCAATCACACTTCTGTGAAATCAAACTGTCCACTTAGGAAGCAACACTGATTGACAATACATTTCACATGCTGTTGTGCAAATAAATAGACAACAGGTGGAAATTATAGGCAATTAGCAAGACACCCCCAATAAAGGACTGGTTTTTCAAGTGGTGACCACAGACCACTTCTCAGTTCCTATGCTTCCTGGCTGATGTTTTGGTCACTTTTGAATGCTGGCGGTGCTTTCACTCTAGTGGTAGCATGAGACGGAGTCTACAACCCACACAAGTGGCTCAGGTAGTGCAGCTCATACAGGATGACACATCAATGCGAGCTGTGGCAAGAAGGCTTGCTGTGTCTGTCAGCGTAGTGTCCAGAGCATGGAGGCGCTACCAGGAGACAGGCCAGTACATTAGGAGACGTGGAGGAGGCCGTAGGAGGGCAACAACCCAGCAGCAGGACTGCTAACTCCGCCTTTGTGCAAGGAGGAGCAGGAGGAGCACTGCCAGAGCCCTGCAAAATGACCTCCAGCAGGCCACAAATGTGCATGTGTCTGCTCAAACGGTCAGAAACAGACTCCATGAGGGTGGTATGAGGGCCCGACGTCCACAGGTGGGGGTTGTGCTTACAGCCCAACACCGTGCAGGACGTTTGGCATTTGCCAGAGAACACCAAGATTGGCAAATTTGCCACTGGAGCCCTGTGCTCTTCACAGATGAAAGCAAGGTTCACACTGAGCACATGTGACAGACGTGACAGAGTCTGGAGACGCCGTGGAGAACGTTCTGCTGCCTGCAACATCCTCCAGCATGACCGGTTTGGCGGTGGGTCAGTCATGGTGTGGGGTGGCATTTCTTTGGGGGGCTGCACAGCCCTCCATGTGCTCGCCAGAGGTAGCCTGACTGCCATTAGGTACCGAGATGAGATCCTCAGACCCCTTGTGAGACCATATGCTGGTGCGGTTGGCCCTGGGTTCCTCCTAATGCAAGACAATGCTAGACCTCATGTGGCTGGAGCGTGTCAGTAGTTCCTGCAAGAGGAAGGCATTGATGCTATGGACTGGCCCGCCCGTTCCCCAGACCTGAATCCAATTGAGCACATCTGGGACATCATGTCTCGCTCCATCCACCAACGCCACGTTGCACCACAGACTGTCCAGGAGTTGGCGGATGCTTTAGTCAGAGTCTGGGAGGAGATCCCTCAGGAGACCATCCGCCACCTCATCAGGAGCATGCCCAGGCGTTGTAGGGAGGTCATACAGGCACGTGGAGGCCACACACACTACTGAGCCTCATTTGGACTTGTTTTAAGGACATTCCATCAAAGTTGGATCAGCATGTAGTGTGGTTTTCCACTTTAATTTTGAGGGTGACTGCAAATCCAGACCTCCATGGGTTGATCAATTTGATTTCCATTGATCCTTTTTGTGTGATTTTGTTGTCAGCACATTCAACTATGTAAAGAAAAAAGTATTTCATAAGATTATTTCATTCATTCAGATCTAGGATGTGTTATTTTAGTGTTCCCTTTATTTTTTTGAGCAGTGTATAACGTCCTCCCCTGAGACATCATGCTGGATACACAACATTAGATGTCCTGTGGGAAATGACAGATTATACATTTTTTTTTTCACCTTTATTTAACCAGGTAAGCCAGTTGAGAACAAGTTCTCATTTACAACTGCGACCTGGCCAAGATAAAGCAAAGCAGTGCGATAAAAACAACAACACAGAGTTACATATGGGGTAAAAAAAACAAAGTCAAAAAATACAACTGAAAATATATATATACAGTGTGTGCAAATGTAGCAAGTTATGGAGGTAAGGCAATAAATAGGCTATAGTGCAAAATAATTACAATTAGTATTAACACTGGAATGCTAGATGTGCAAGAGATTATGTGCAAATAGAGATACTGGGGTGCAAAAGAGCAAAATAGTAGGAGGCCTGCAAATGGATGCACATGGGAAGAGTATAAAAGAGATTACACCTTTTTATAACTTCATTATAGAATTCAAAAAAGAAAAACAGCAAAAAAAAATAACCGCAATACAACCCCTGCCATCTTCCCAATAATCTCGTGGACAATCAATCAAATTGTATTTATAAAGCCCTTTTTACATCAGCAGATGTCACAAAGTGCTATACAGAAACCCAGCCTAAAACCCAAAACAGCAAGCAATGCAGATGTAGAAGCACGGTGGCTAGGAAAAACTCCCTAGAAAGGCAGAAACCTAGGAATCAGGCTCTGAGGGGTGGCCTGTCCCCTTCTGGCTGTGCCGGGTGGAGATTATAACAGTACATGGCCATTAAGGCCAGATTTTTCTCCAAGATTTTCAAACGTTCATAGATGACCAGCAGGGTCAAATAATAATCACAGTGGTTGTAGAGGTTGCAACAGGTCAGTACATCAGGAGTAAATGTCACTTGGCTTTTCATAGCCGGGCATTTAGAGGTTGAAATAAAGAGAGAGTTGAAAACAGCAAGTCTGGGACAAGGTATCACATCCGGTGAACAGGTCAGGGTTCCATAGCCGCAGACAGAAGAGTGAAATGTAGAGCTGTGTGTCGTCCGCATAGCAATGAAAGTTAACATTGTGTTTCCGAATGACATCACCAAGAGGTAAAATATATAGTGAAAACAATAGTGGGCCTAAAACTGAAACTTTTTTTTTTCTTTTTGGGGGTATTTTACCCCCTTTTTCTCCCCAATTGGTAGTAGTTACAGTCCCTGTCCCATCGCTGCAACCCCCGTACGGACAAGGGAGAGGCTTTGTCTTGGGCCTAACAACACCCGTGCCAATATATCGGGCATTATATAGGGCATTAGCACAAATGGTACCGTAGTCGAGCATCTGACCAAATCGAGCATCTAACCACATTACACAAGATTTTAGTTCTGGGTTAACCAAGGTTATCTTCTCAATGAACGTTAAGTCACAAGTTGAATATTTTAAAGAAGATTAACCTGTATTGCAAGGACTTTTCAGAAAAGCCAACATCATCCCATTAAACAAAAGGGGTGTACCGGGCTCCCTGTCAGGGTTGATGACATCAGCAGAGCACAGCTTACCTTGAGGTGAGAGAACCACAGCAGGTTCTCATGTATGGAGTAAACACACCAGGCATGAGCCAGCCCAGTAAGCACAGCCAATACCAACCCTGCTGATATGACAACAGACTGCCAAGGCCACAGAGGTGGAATGCTCAGACGGTACCAATTCTGGGAATCTCTCCCAGAGTCTTCTCTTTCACTGACCCGTAAACCCCCTCTTGCTCCACCGCAACTTTCAGCAGACACATCATCCTGAGAGATGCCCCAGTAACTCTCCAGCTTGCTCAGTCCTCTCTTGCGTATTTCCATGTCTGGATGCAGGGTTACTCATGCACGTCTTGCCTCTAACATCCAGTAGTCACCCACTGATGAGAAAGTACCCAGCATGAGTCATAATAGCAATCTCTCCATGTGACCAAGGCTTACTCCCAAGCTCACTCCTCTCATGGTCCAGCAAACAGTCTGAGAAAAACAGGCCTCTCTCTCACTGTGTTTGTTTTCTCAGTCGCTCTGTTTCACTGCCCAATCTCTGTCTAATAACCAGTTGATTAAAAAAAAGAAAAGAACGCAATCACATTAGTTTTACAAGGCCATTAAAAAGCCATTAAAAAGCAAAACAATCTGCAGCCAACATGTCAGAGGGACCAGCTCGGTCCGTGATCTGGAAGACAACTGAAATTGCCGGATAGGGAAGGCGAATCAGCTCACAACCACAACTGGTGACCTCTCGGCACATCTAGAAAAAAAAGAGAGAAAGAAAAAAGCCGTAGAAAGAAAGCCTGGAACATCATTTGGAAAATGCTGAGACCGTTTGTCAGACAGCTTATATATTTCTAAAAGTGGAGTGAGAGAGAAGTGGTCTGAAATAAGCTCCGGTAGGTGCTATAACTGTCATGGACATGACTTTACACGTGATGAATTTAGTAGGCCCGGATGCAGCTGCCTCCCTGTGAACAGCGATGTCCCATAGGAAATAACTAAAAGACATGCCTGCCTTTCAGAAACGCTACCGTAACATTCAGTCAACGCTGAGCCAAAACTGACCGAACATGTGGACGGTGCTTAAAAAAACATATGGATTCATTAAAGTCGGTCTCATTCAAAACGAGCAGACTCCCAAACAAAGCAGACATGGCCGGCGTTCTCCCATGCAGCCTTCTGAAGTCACAATATATTAACTGCAACAACCAATCACCACTGGCATTGTTCCTGAGGAAAGCTGATGAGATCATGGATCATGTCTTAGCGCTGAGAGCATTGCTTATCCCAGTCACGGTCATCTCTACCCGACGTCAGAACAAAGCATGAATCATATAAGGTAGTACCAGTAGTCTTAGGATACCACAGTCGTCTAGGCTGTTCAGTGTTGTTGCTTTTTCCACAGTGTGGATTTAATATCTCTTGGAAAGCCAAGACTAGAATAGCATTAACAGGCATCAGGCTTCTCTCACACACAGACACACACACTTTTCTGGGAAACTGAAGGGCTCACAATGTGCAGTGATGTCATTCTCTTAAATAAACACATGGTGTTTGAATACAGGGGAGTCGCTGCTGCCAGCTCTGCAAAGTGACCCGTATTTATTATAAATGAGAACATCTGTCTACCTACTCTACGTTCACAGAGAGACAAGAGAAGGGGGAAACAACACAAAGACAAAGAAACAGAATATAATCAAATATGTGCATCCATGCAGGTTAGCTCAATTAGGTGCGCACTTTGATTTCCATGACACACTAGCAAATTATTCACAGCTTGGATGCGTGTGTGGGCTGAGTTGCGCTGTGCATTTGTGTGGGAGGTATACACCTGGACTCTCAAAGACAAAACACAGCACCGTGAGAAGAGAGCACTGTGAGGAAAACCTGTTGAGTACCACTGCTCCAGACAAAATCAACACCTGGGAATTATTGAGGAGGGAGGCCTGACAATAAGCTCAAAATGTGGTCCATTTAATGACGACCCAGACCACGGGAAAGGCACTTCACCTCAGATTGAACATGACAGAATATTTTTGGGCCAGAATCATATGTTCTTTTATACTGTTTTGGAAGGCTCAGGGTGGATGTGGTAACAACCGTTGGCTTGAATTTCAGGACTTTGGTTATAAAAGGTGTGAAAAACAAACCTATGTGAGAGACATGGGGAGACTCCATCTGTCTGTTCCAGCTTGAGGTGTTTATGACATTAGGAAATCCAACAAAGGAAATAGATCATAACTCATGATATAAATTACACTTCATGAAGATCTTACCTTCTAAACCCAATTCATTATTGCCAACAACTTGACTATATGATTCCAACGTGAACTTGATGCGGGGTGGGGTGCAGGACAGTCAAGTAACAATGGTCATACAATGAGGCCATATTTGGGGTAATCTTTGGGGATTCTCACCTTAATGTTGGAAAACCACAGGTCATTTTCATGGAGAGTAGCCACATAGATGCAGCACAGCATGCCAAGACTAATTCCCACAATCCAACCTATGGCAACCCATAGCACTGTCCTCCATGTCCATGCACCTGAAGAGAGAATAACATAACACAAAACAATATTAATGTCTCCATTGATAGCCTATACACCTTTCTCTAAACAAGGTTCTCGTATGTATGCATTATGAGGCAACTATAAGCATGTTACGTTGATCAATGTGACACCATGCCTAACAGGGGGTTAGGGATTACCGAGGAGGCAACGAGAGATACTGAGATAGGGTGCAAAAAATGTAGGGATTTCATTTCTCAAATTTGCTAAATACAAATGATGACAAGAGAAAATAAACCAAAGTGATTTAAAAATAGACAAAATTGATAAATTAATTGAAATGAAAAACAGACTGTCCTAATGTCTCAATTTAAAAAAAGAACAAATCTAAGGTGCAGGAACAGAACGTACACCACCGGTCAAAAGTTTTAGAACACCCCCATTTTTCCAGTTTTTATTGAAATTTAAGCAGTTCAAGTCCAGTGAATAACCTGAAATGGTACAAAGGTAAGCGGTAAAATGCCAGATGTAAAAAAAAAAAAAAAAAATGTGGCTACCAAAAACTGAATGATAATGTACATTTCAGAGTTATAAAAAAATGCCTTTTTCAGGGAACAAGTAATGGGTTAACAACTTACAGCTGTTCTGCAGCAATGGAAGTTAATTAAGCCTTGAAAGTTGACGCTAACAATTCCTACAGGTGTCCCAACTGTTGTTGATTACTTTCAAACCCTCTGTCTGTATAAAAGCAGTGTTGGAACAGACTGTGTTACTACACCCTCTTAAGCATTATCTGGACAGTATTGTACTGCAGGAAGTAGTATATTGCTATCATAATGGTGAGAAAAAGGCAATTAACAAAGGAAGACAGACCATTATAACCCTTAAAAGTGTCAGTCTTTCCTTTAGAGAAATTGCAAAGAAAGCCAAGGTGTCAGTGAGTACAGCTTTCCTACACCCTCAAAAGGCACTTGGAAACTGGAGGAAACTGACAGGAAGAGGTCTGGCAGACCCAAAGCCACAACAGAATGAGAAGACAAGTTTCTGAGAGTGAACAGCTTGCGTGATAGGCGGCTCACAGGACAATAGCTTCAAGCACAGCTTAACACTGGTCGATGTAAGCAAGTCTCAGTTTCAACTGTGAAGAGAAGACTTCGAGCTGCAGGTTTGACATGTCGAGTGGCAGTAAGAAAGCCATTGCTAAGATGGCAAAGTTGGTCAGGGGTTCATCCTACAGCAAGATAATGACCCAAAACACACCTACAGGCTATGTTAGAACTGCCTTAGAAGAAAATAACAAGATGGTAGGCTTCAAATCATGGAATGGCCAGCACAGTCTCTAGACTTAAACCACATTGAGCTGGTTTGGGATGAACTGGGCTGAAGGGTGAAAGCAAAGCAACCTACAAGTGCAACACATTTGTGGGAACTTCTGCAGTGTTGGGAAGAACTTTCCGAACAATTTTTGATTTCCATTGTAGAAAGAATAGCACGAGTGTGTTTGGCTGTTATGTCTGCAAAAGGTGGCTGCTATGATGAGTCAGAAATGTAGATTACATTTTGTTCAACAAAATGATTACATTATTTATTTTTTGTCTCCAATTGTTTATTTGGTCTACTTAGAAGACTTAGAATATTTAGAATATTTAGAATATTTCATAGTACATTAAGACATTAACAACTGTGTGAATTTCAATAAAAACTGGAAAAATTCTAAAACTTTTGACCGGTAGTGTACATAAATCAACTGACAAGAAGGGGTTTGACAGAGAGAATATATGGAGAGTGGGCAGCTCCATTCTCTACCTGAAGGGAGGTTTGCAAACGTTCATTTTAGATACACATCATCATGATATAAAGTGTGAATGTACTGATCAGATTTTAAATACATAAAGTTATTTTAGCATTAGCAGTACTTTGCCATTTTAACACGTCAAGTGAAAAGAGTTCCCCCGCGGTGAATAGAGGGATGGCATTTCCCAACGCATACCCAAGGTACTCAGTCTTGGATGCGTTGATGGTGAGAACGGCTGCCTGAATGTGCTGAAAGACCACCTTCATGACAGCATCATTGAGGTAGGCAGAAGCAAAATCAGACAGACCGGATAGTACCTGATCGATGAGCTGCTGAAAGGTTGCAGGGGCTCTGTGACATCCAAATGGCATTTCCGTGAAATGGAACAGGAGCCAGGTGTCCTGAACGCTGTCAGTTCTCAAGGGAACTTGCCAGTAGCTTTACACAAGTCATTCGATGAGGTCGTCATTGCGGGGGGTTGGATAGAAGTCAAACTTGGACACTAACATTTACATTTTACATTTTAGTCACTTAGCAGACGCTCTTATCCAGAGCGACTTACAGTTAGTGAGTGCATACATTTTTATACTGGCCCCCCGTGGGAATCGAACCCACAACCCTGGCGTTGCAAACACCATGCTCTACCAACTGAGCTACATCCGGCCATTCCCTCCCCTACCCTGGACGACGCTGGGCCAATTGTGCGCCGCCCCATGGGTCTCCCGGTCGCGGCCAGCTACAACAGAGCCTGGTTTCGAACCAGGATCTCTAGTGGCACAGCTAGCACTGCGATGCAGTGCCTTAGACCACTGCGCCACTCGGGACCCCACTAAGTTTAAGTAGTGGAAGTCAACACAGAACCTGAGAGTGCCATCCTTCGGAACTGGAACCACAGGACTACACCACTTGCTCCATGACCCCTCAATGATTCCCATTGACAACATCAGGTCAATTTCTTTCTTCAGCGCCACCAGGAGGTGCTCAGGGATACAGTAGCTCATGCGTCTGGCAAGAGCATTTTCTTTCAG